ATTAAAGGTTATGGGGATGGGGATTAGAGATTGGCGTTTTGGGTATACCATTTGAGGATTTTGGGAGGGTGTGGTATGCGGTTTCTATCAGAACGAATAGAGTGCGCCTTTGACTCAGACTGCCGTCTGGTTCTGGGTCGGACTGGTCACTGAGATTGTACTTTGGTATACGGTATGATTGCGATAGCTTTGATGATGCGGTTTTAATCGCCTGATAGGCGATGTTTGAGGATCTCGACCCTTCCGAATATTTCTTTGATGTACAATTTACGTATGCGATGTTCATAAGTCTGGATTTGTTTTCGTAAATCGCCTGCATTGTCCGTGAATCTTGAAGCGGATGCATATGGATGCAACCTCCGCAACTTTCCGATCCTGCAATGAAAGCCTAGAATCCGCTGATCTTTGTGGCAAGTATGTTGAGCTTTCGGCCCTTAGCTGTTCGAACCTGCCTAATTCTGTGCGGCTGAAGCATGCTTTAGGACCTTGGAAGGATTGCCAAGTCAGCTGAGGCATTCGTATACGAAAGCGACGTGCCTTAAAACATACAAGAGTTCTATCTCTCCTGATTTCTGTAAAACAGGTCGGTACTACTGCATCGATCAGGTGCTATCGCAGGCGGCTCGATTCGTTCGCATCTTGGGCAAGTGCCGATGACGTCAGACTGGTCTGAGCTCATAGAGCTCATGGTAGAAGCTTTTGCCCAAGCGGTAGAGACATCTGCATCATCGCCGCCGCGTGCGCGTATGATCTCGGATCATCTCCAACCTTCTCTTGATGAGCAGATCCGCGTCGAATCCGACACGAACGACACAAAACAGGCTCCCGCAAGCGGAGGAGACCAGGAAACCCCATCATGCACCATATGCCACCATTTCGCCAACGGCTTCGAGACCAGCACACTAACGGCAGACTTTCTTGTTTCTGCCGGCAAATGTCAAGGATGTTCAATAATCTTGCAGGCTCTTGATGCCGTCACCGATATTCGACGGCCGGAATTCACGACTATCGATATTAGGCGCAAAGAAGCGGTCGACTATTGGCACCTTTTCGACCCCCAGAATGTCTTAAATGTGGCATGCAAGCAGGAGGGTGAACCATATGGCGGTATGGTGCTGTTTGGCCGAAAGTATGTGGACAAGAGACCGAATGATTACCAGATCTACACTCCGGTTGGTAAGTTCTACAGCTAGTCAGGCTTCTTTCTATCAGCCTAAGTCACCTTTAAAGGAATGAGGAATGAGGGAGTGTTTGAAAATGATGCTAACAGCCTAACAGATGCTGGAGAAGACTCTGCTATTCCATGGCTCGGTATACGCAATAGTGAAAACGACAAGTACCGAGAGCTATTAAGCAATCTCGAAGATCGTTTGGGTCAAGCGCGCAGCTGGTTCGAGCAATGCAAGGCTGATCATCCGCTGTGTGCACCAGACAAGGGTGAATGGCCACGTCGTGTCCTCGATCTCGCAACTGATCCTATCCGCCTTGTGGATAGCGCATCGATTGCATCAGACTCACCACAACATCAGGAAGGTTACGCTTGTCTCAGTTACGCATGGGGCACGACCGGCTCCCTCAAGACGCTGAAAAGTAATCTCGAGACCCATATGCAAGGCATCGATATTTCGACACTCCCTCGCACCCTCGCCGATGCCATCCACGTGTGCAAGGCTTTTGGCTTGCGATACCTATGGGTAAAGCAACCAATACATGAACTGTATCTATCCCAGAAGCTGACCTCAGACAACAGATTGATGCGCTATGCATAGTACAAGATGATATACAAGACTGGACGGACCAAATTCCATGCATGAAGTCCATCTACCCAGGAGCCGAGCTGGTCATCTCGGCACAGAGTGCATCCAGCGTCCAGGAAGGATTTCTGTCCCTCAGCCCTGCCGCGAATGCACCCCTCAAACGTATTGAGGTACCCTTTCACATGCCAGACGGCACGTCTCGTACAGTTCAACTCTCCATTCGCGAGCGAGAGGAACAATACTGGAGCAACCCAGCACATCATTCGTCGCGCCCCAATATAGAAGATGTCGACATCGACGAACTTCTCACCCCCCTCGCTACCCGCGCATGGGTGTTCCAAGAGAGCTTTCTAGCGCGCAGAATACTATATGCTACACCATCTGAACTAGCCTGGCAGTGTAGCCAGCACGAGAGATGCGAGTGTCGGAAGGAAGCAAATGAAGACGCCGTTCACAATATCGCCGAAGAAGACCATTTCTTCAACGTGCGTACTCTTGGTCAACTACTCCGTGTAGAAAACTCCCGCGCGACCGACCAACCTAATTTCAACCATTCGAAACTATGGGCTGAGGTTGTAGCGCGGTACTCGGAAAAGAGACTGACCAAATGGACTGATCGCTTGGCCGCAATACAAGGCGTCGTCGGAGCGTTGCAGCAAGCCATGCCTGACAAGTTCCCAGAGGGAGATTACCTCTTCGGGCTCTGGAAACCACAGCTAGAAAAGTGGCTGCTGTGGCTTCGTCCTCATCGGAAGCAGCCTGGCGACTCAGAGGCAGTTGCTACACTGAGTAAGATGGTGCCATCTTGGTCGTGGGTGAAGACCATTGGGAAAGTCATGTACTATGACTTTATCTTTGACCCGAATGTTGTGATTTACACACGAGTGGTGACCTGGGAGCACAAGGAGTCTGATAGCTCCGAGACAGAGGTATTCGGAGCGGGCAAGTGTGAGCTGACGCTCACCGGCTTTTGCCTCCCAGTCCAGTCACCGTTTCCACTTGATGAGGATGAACAGGGGGAAGTGCGTTCGTACAACCCTTTCCTCATTCCCGAACGCTTTGCAGACGTTGATGTCATCGGCCCCGCAGTCATCGACATGATACCAGACGACCCGACGGACACAGCCGTGTTTTCCCGCGTCACGCATTTCGCGCCTATATTATGCGTCCCGAGTAGCGATGGCTCAAAATGGTGTTTCCAGGGCTTGTTCTTGGAGAGGATAGCTACCGAGGGAGAGCCGTATACGTGGGAGGAGGATGGTCACGTTTGGCAAGCCACGTACGAGGGTACATTCAAAAGAGTAGGGTTTGGCTACGATGACTGCTCACAGATGAATCTTCACTTTGATGATTACCGGGACGCTTTCAAGGAGGCCTGCTCGTTTAAACTTGTTTGACATAGGACAAGGTGTTAGCGGGCGGTAACACTGCGATGTGAATGCGATCAATGATAACAGGAAATATTCAAATCTGTAGTGTCGTTTCTGCACCCAAAATGCCAAACTCGTCTGGTCAAACTGCGATCTTGTCGATCTTGTTACCTTATCCTTTTTGCACATGACGATGAAGGAATGCCATTGACATAATGGCAATACTAGCAAGGCCATACTCGAGCTAAACACAGGCTTTTATCCTAACATTCGTGTCCATGATCCCAACATCACTCCTCCTTGATATGAAGACCAACCCCCTCCCCACCCTCCCAAAACGCCACAGTCCTCTCTGCAATCGTCTTAGGGTTCAGCACCTTATTCTCTGGCGCTACAACTCCCTCGACATAGATAAGCCCGATATGTACACCGCTATCACTGAACGCACGACTGAAGCTCTCCACCATATTCTTCTGCGAAGCCTTCACCAGACTCAGCGAGAGGAGTTGCGGCACAGGATCCCACGGCAGATGGCTGTTTGTAACGAGAAGAGCGGGCTTGAGCGACGAGTTTGACTTGGCCAGGCTCTGGAGTCTGGGGATATAGTGCTGTGCTATGACGTAAAGGGCGAGGTTCGTGGTCTGGATATTTCCGTTAGAGTCTGGTCCGTCATGTGGTTGTCGAAGAGGGAATCATTACTTTGAAGTCTTCCTCAATCTCCTCCACGTTGACACCCAGGACATCGTTCGGCTTTATACGAGCAGCGTTGAAGAATACGATTTCTACATTTTCGCCTTCGGTCATGCTGTCGAGCTGCTTGAGTATATCTGGGATGGACTTTGTGTCTGCGAGATCGATGCGGAGTATGTCGACCTTGACAGAAGCGTTGCTTTTGCCAACGAAAGGCGCATCTTCCTTCTCGAGACGTTCTGTGTTGCGCGACAGAAGGATGACATGCTCAATGCCTTTAGACGCGAATTCAGAAGCCACGTGATTACCGATTCCTGGCCCCGCGCCGAAGATGATGAGGGTACGTGTCATGTTGAAGTATTCAGGGTGTGATGCCGTCGATGTGGTATGCGGGAAGTGATTCTGCCGATGGGGCTGGAGCCTCTGAATTTATATCTCGCAGCTCATACAAACCACACTTCCAATCATAACGTCGTCAAAGGTCTCGCTCGCGCATCTTACTATTACCTAATCGCATCCAAAACACGCTTACGGATGGCTTTTGTCCCGAGGTCGTCCATAGGGCGTACTTGGGTTTATAAATCGATGCTTACTGCTGCAGCACATGCTTGTGTTCATTGATATTACCGGAGCTCGCAGAGTTGTGAGATGGAATGTTGGTGTTCAGGTCTGCTCGAAAAAGAAATGTTCGTCATGATCCCAGACGCGTCAGGCTGGACCCACCTGTATTTGCCCATGGCGCTACGTTAGCGCCTCGCGTCATATACCCATCTCCGCTCTCGATCGCCTCACCGACGTTGTTAGTGATTCCGGAGGCTGAATTACTAACAGCATCATGTTGTTAGGGTGTGAGTGCGCGTTGCTTACGCATGGTCAAGCTTTGGGAAGCTTTCTGTGCTGAGTAAGATGCGAGGTCTGCGGGGTCGCTACCAGATCTACGACCGTACCAAGATCTCATCTCATGTCACGCGAATTCCCGGTTCGCTACTTCATCGCCATCTTGATGCATAATGTGAACGCGAGAAACAATGAAGATAGGCAAAGGCTGGAATGTATCGCGTCGGCTCAGAATGACTCATTTTGACCAACCCTCTTTGGGCCAGATAAGGCGCACCTTTATATCGAGAACGAGCCGCGAACATCTTCCATGATGTCTTTTCCTTGATCCGCTTAGAATAACACCATGTCGCAACGAACAAGAGATACCACGCTCGCCAGCGGTTTCACAAAGACGATACATAAGAAACCGACCGCCGCCTTAGACCCAGCTTCCAACAAATTACCAAAGCCGCTCAACGTCCTCATAATCGGTGCATCTCGCGGCATTGGAGCCGGAATTGCATACGCATATGCACAAGCGGGTGCCGCGTCTCTCATCTTAGCAGCAAGGTCATCTTCAGCCCAAGAGCTAGCAGCAGTCGCAAAACAAGCTCAAATCCTCAATTCTTCGACATCGGTCAAGAGCCTGAAAGTCGATATAACATCCAATGAAAGCGTTGCGCAACTTGCGAGGAACGTGAAAGAAGAAGTGGAAAGGCTGGACGTTGTGATCGTCAATTCGGGGTACTCAGGACCGGTAGTGTTGAAAGTCGACCAAGGCAATCCGCAAGATTTCCAAGATGTGTTCGATGTCAACGTGCAAGGCACATATCTCGTTGCGCATCATTTTATTCCGCTGCTGAAGGAGAGTGATGGCGCGAAGACGTTTATCGCAATCAACTCCTTTGCAGCATGCATCACCAACGGCCACATTGCGAATACTGCGTATTGCATCTCGAAATTTGCGCAGGCACGTCTTGTTGAGTTTTTATCAGAGCAGTATGGTCCGGATGGTATACTAGCAGTTGCTGTGCATCCTGGGGCTGTGAATACTGAGATGGCGGATAAGACTACGCCTGACAGCTTCCGTTCTTGTGAGTGCATCGCTGCATGATTGTGGTATTCTTTTGCTGACTTTGTAGATCTCACAGATGATGTTGGTCTTGGTGGCGCGTTTTGCGTGTGGTTGAGCAGTGAGAAGCGGATGTGGTTGAATGGCCGGTTACTGGGTGCGACGTGGGATGTTGACGAGTTGCTGGAGAAGAAAGCCCAGATAGAGGAGCAAGACTTGCTCAAGTTTGGCTATAGGGTTGGTGATGCTTCGGCCGTCAGAAAGTAAATATGAAACTGAACCTACAATAGGCTACATCCTGTTTTCGGGCGTTGCCTCCCAGTCTCTTTCCCGATCTACCAACTAATGACGTTGCCTCGATCATACAAACACGATCTTCTGTAAGCAGCAGGAAGCACGTCTCGCAAGTGCTGAGAACTGTAGTTGCCCGAGTCTGAGCCCAGCGAAGCCTTCCGTAAACTGGTGCCGACAACGCGCACTTCTACAAAGGGGCCTAGCGTGGTCTGGTCTGTGCACAAGTGGCTGTGACCGTGAGTACGTCGTGCAACCCGATCGGTAGGTATTGTCGCAAAGCTATTGTACACAATAGCGACACCGAATGTCCACTTTACTCGACGTGAAGAAGCCTCGCGAGAGTAGGTTGTTGATCACCACTAATACGTAGATCAGGACAGGCGTAAACACACGCCTAATTAGTTGCTTTCGCAGTAGAATGCTTACAATCTAATCTATATAGATCTCTATTATTTAGAATTTAACGTTACCTAAGTATATATTTAATTTAGATTCTATATAATCTAATAACAGCTCTAATAACCTAGCTTCTACCTATAATAATTACTCTCTACTTTAAGTAGTGCTTTATAGAATTACTACTTAAGTAAGTAACTAAAGTAATTTTAGTAAAAAAGAGAATTATATTAATTTTTTAGAAGTTTTAATATTTATTACGTAACTTAAATCTACTTATATAAAAATATAATACTTATATAAAAAGGTAATATTTAGATCTAACTAATTAGAGTAGAGCTTTAATTCTCTAATAGAAAGTTATACTTTTTAGCTTTTTTTGCCTTTATAGCTTAACTAATTAGTAAGCATTCTACGCTTAGATACTTCGCTTATTTCTTGCTTGTATTCTTACTGCGAAAGCAATAAATAGCTCTTTTGCTGCTTATTAACTACACTTCCCCCTCTATCGCTAATATTAGAAGATAGAGATGGCTTCTCTAAATTTCTCTACAGCTAACCTTTCGACTTTGCGCGGGTCTACGCGAGCAGTGGAGGGGCTAGCAGGCCAATCCACACACCACAGCGACTGATTGAACTTTGCTAACAGTACTCTTCTCTTCGCCTAAACAGTTTAGCACATCTTACTAACTTGTATAGCATCAAGATCTCTTTCAAATTAGTCTTATACGTTAGAAGAGCAATTCTTACTCTCAAGCAGAACAACACAATAGCGGAGCTCAAGCTCAGATCCAGAGACCTTCTAGAGATTAATGCCCATACTACTATAGACCTCGCCTGTCAAGATCCTGTCGCGATGCCAGAGGGACGTGCGGATCTACCACATCTCCGCCCTCTGCAGTTCCGGGCAATGAAAGAGATGCAACAAAACTGTCCATTCTTTTTCGACATTCACTGGGGTAGCGCAGTCCAAACCATTCCTCTCGACAACGCGCTGAAGTTCATGCGCCCCCTTCTTAAATGCTGGACTAACAAGTGGGAAGGAAGCGCCGTTCGTCTCGATCTTCTACACACCCTGCGCCAGAACGCGCACAACATCAAGCCAGTGACCCGCGTCATTTGCTTCGATCTCGGTCCTCTCTTTCCTGGATCGACGGGTGAGCGGGGCTTCATCCAACATCTCGCAGCTATGGATGTTGCCCGAACTCTAGCGCAGATACAGGGAAACATCGTCACCCTCTTTGTTCAAGACGTACGATACACACCGGCTTGCAAGACTCTACTGACAGATCATGAGCCACTCCTCAACTTCGCTAACTCCACTGTTGCGCAGGGCTTCGATCTCGTCAACGATTACTCATTCATCATCCATCTCAACTCTAAGGCTGTTATCCTCGAGCCAGCAATACAGATTGCTAGGCCTGCTGGACCTGCAGGCATCTGGTTCTTCCTGGAATTGAGAACGTTGAAGAGAAGTGGAATGGAAAGTAGCAAGAGGGACCTCTGCCTCTGCGGTACGTCCGAGGGTCAGCGGTGGAGAGCGAGTACAGGGAGAAATGCGAAGTGGTGAAGGTAGATGGACGAAGCTGGTTCAGTGCTCCTAAGCATTCTGGAGTCAACGCACCTTCACAGGCTGAGCTGATGATCAGGAAGCAGTAGGCCATTGCTTCTTGGATGAGGGATGCGAGGTTTGGCCGGGATGGACAATGACAAGCCACAAACGCTTGTGCTCGCGGCTTGTTCACATTGCCATCATATAAGACATGTGACTAAAGCTCCTCAATCCTAGAACTATCAAGATCGATACTGACACCCTTTGAAGCTCGCAAGCTTCACTTTGCTCTATATATAGGCAACGATATGGCAATGCGAATTCATCATAGTAACTCTACCTTCACCATCTTTTCGCATGGTATACGTATATACCACGATAAAGTAGCGCGGCATTTCTGCCAAGACTCCACCACAAACCGGAACGCCCACGACCTTCCGCCTAAATACGATTCACTTCAGCTGCAACAGATGCTATGGCTGCGTCTCCTCGGACCACGACGATTAGCAGCGCCACAGTCATTCACCAAGCGAAGGGATTCATCACATGATGGATTCAGCGGCCCCCTAGGTGTATATAAACTCAGGCCAGGCGCCCGATGAAAGACCTTAACGCCCATCGACCCGCTCAACCACTTCAATCAGACTCTTGTAACTTTACACCTGCTATTAAAGTCTTTACCAGCAGAGCGCGCTCGACACGACTTCTCACTTCACACGACCACCGCTTCACAATGTCCTCCTCATTCAGCCACCCAACGATGGTACCTCTGCAGAGGGTCGGCGACACGGTCGCCCATGGAACCGTAGGACTTGCTACCAAGGCTGACCTTGACGCGGTCAAAGCAAGCATCGACCAGCTCAAGACTGAGCAACAGGAGATAAAGTCCTTGCTCATCCAACTCCTGCAAGGCCGCGCACCCGCGCATCATGCTGCACCAGATCGTGAAACTTCAACGGTCCCTACGTGTGGTCTCAAAGTCAGTGAAGATTCTGCAACAAATGATCCATCTGAGACGCAGACCGACGTAGAGCTCCGTCACTCTAGCTTGTAGGGTTCCTTGCTGATTAGATCTAGTTTGTCAAACCTCAAGGAAATGTGGAAGATGGGCATGCAGCGCCCGTAGCCTCCGCGTCCGAAGAGCAAGACGCATCGGTTAGTTAGGCTCCGTAGTCTTCATGACTCGTTCGTTAGTAACAACTTCAGCGTTCCCATCAGCATGCCAACACTACATCCGTTACCGAAGTGCCAGTCCAAGCAACAGCTATCAATACCGCCCCGACCCCGGCTGTGCTGTCATCGACGCCAGTAAAACCTAGCGTGTCTACGCTTAACGAAGAGACGGTCTCAGCCCAGGCCGCTGCTCAAGCTGAAGAAGACGCACTGTCGGATGAGGAGTTGAGGGAACTTCGGCCGCTACGTCAGCAATCGACACGTCTTCTCTGCATCAATGAAGACTTTCGCTTTAAGACTTTAGTCGGCTTGTACTGCGCTCTCAAGTCGAGGAACCCAGCTCAATCGTCATCCCGGACCCGCCTCCCTGAGAGCCAGTTGATCACTATGGCGCGCCATGCAGAATTCGACATTCTTCGAGGCATAGATCGAAGGGTCATAAGGAGGCAATTGGCTTCGGTCCCATCGCTCATACTCAATGAGTACTCAACTGGTCGGCAGGAGATGTGGAGCAATATCAAGTATAGCAGCAACTTCTCCAAGCTGATCCATAGACATCAGCGGTCTGTGCGTGAGGCCTTGAGGCAGAGTAGAAGAGTCACCCGGTCGCAATCTCCTCAGCAGATAGGAGCTTTCGTCAAAGTTCCTCGTGGCCGTGCTGGATACCGCTATCGATCCGCGTCAAGGTCTTCGAGCGCTGACCGTGGCGGCAATGCACCGGTGACAAGTGACAGCGATTTCTCCTTCCCGAGAGCTCGCACACAAATCCCCTCCTCGATGGCACCTGGCACGCTCGTGGCGTATAGCGACATGCTTATGGACGCTGATTTGGCCCTCCTCAAAGAGCCCACGTCAGCCAAGCCATATAATATCAAGCTCGCCAACGATCTTCGCAGCGGCACACTCGTCGAGTTTTACGACAAGCTCGTACAGGCCAACAGCCTGGTATCCTACCTCAAACACGACGAAGCCCTTCAGCATGCGCTTGTCGAAGTCTACCAAAGCATGGGTACAGCGCCGTTCTGGAAAGATTACCTACCGCTTGATACCCAGGAGCTCTTCAGACTAACGAAGCAAGTCGAAGATGATGTTTTCGGCCGCCTGATGATGGATGTGCGGGGTGGGAAGCTCGATGTGTCTCACGAAAATGCGTACATACGACTAACGGCGAGGTACCGTCCGGGAACCGATGCCATGGGCCTCAAAAGTTTTGCAGCTATGGCTTCGAAATTTCTCGACCGTATGGAGACTTAGGGTGCAGAGTCTTTTCTTCGGATGCGCGGCACGCTACGGAGATAGCGTGAGCGCCGCACTCTAAGAAAGACCTGTTACCCAGGCGGGAGGGTAGAACGGCCAGCGAATGGAAAAAATGAAACGGATGTAACGCCGCTAGTCATAGCGAGAAGGAAGTCATGCAGCAAGCGAATGGCGGAGCTCTCGGGTTCGACGCAAGAGCGGATGTTGGCAACGTCTCGACGCGCGACGGGGTTGGCGAGAACAAGTACGAGTGTTTAGATTGACGGGATTTAAAGCGCAAGATGTGCAGATATAGCGGGAGATATCTTCAATGAGACATCTCATATGGTCGATGAGGCTATACAGAATGATTGGAATAGAGAAGCTGTATGACAGCCTGCTGAGCGCAGGCGCTAGCACATATCGCAATGAAGGAATGCCACTTGCAGAATTTCGATAAAGCGTTCAAACCAATGCGCACGTGCGCGTTCCAATAGTGCAATATGTGAGGCGCGTTGGTAGAAAGGGATGGGAAGTCGCGTCGGACCAACGCGCACCACAGCAGTCGCGCTATGACGTATGCCAAACCAAACCAACAGCCTCAACATCTTTCTCTTTCAACTACACGACAACGTTTCGCATCATATTCGCTGCTTTGTATATCAAAATCGCAATCGTTGGAAGACTTTCGACTGATAATATCCCACAACCATGACACCAACCAAAAAACGCCTCGAAAAAGAATACCAAAGCCTCCGCAAAACCCCCGCAGCCGGCTACCACGTCGAACTAAAACACGGCGACATCTTCGAATGGACAGGCACCCTGCACGGCCTCTCCGCCTCCCCCTACGAAGGCGGTACCTTTGCCTTCCACATCCAATTCACCGACGAATACCCAGAGGCCCCACCCAAACTAAACTTCACGACTAAAATCTACCATCCCAACGTTGACGCCCGGACGGGCGTTGTGAGTTGGAAGATGATTGGGGAGGAGTGGCATCATAATAATACGATGGAGAAGGTGTTGATAGGCTTGAGGACGTTGTTGGATCATCCGGAGTTGGAGAGTGCGGTGGAGGTGGGGATTGCGAATGAGTTTGCGAATGAGAGGGGGGTGTTTGAGAAGAGGGCGAGGGAGTGGACGGGGAGGTGTGCTAAGGAAGGGACTGTGTCTACGTGAAGAAAGGGAGGGCGGTGGGTCGTATGGAGGATAGCGAGAGGGGAGAGCTTATTGGATCGCGCCTTTCTTGTGACGAAGCGCATCTTCTTGAAAAATTCCCTCAGATTTGCTGCAATTTTACGGCGACTTCGGAAGATGTCTTGACTGGTGCCTAATTGGTCGTATACCCACTCAATCAGTGTTCTATACCCATCGACATGACAAAACGGCTTGAGTTATGGAAATTGCAGGCATTTTCTGATCGAGATGCTAACAATCAGTAAAAGGCTCGTCAGCTGTGTCGATGCTGGCCCTTTGATTGACTTTCACTGCATCCCAATCACGCAGTAGGTGGCTTTCGTTCCCCTATATACACACGTTGCCACAATGGAGGGCACAGCGCGGGTGACTACCACTGACTCACCGCAACACAGTGACTGAACAGTGCACCAAAGTGTAGCTGTCACACAACAATAAGGTACCGCCATTCATAAGGCGAAGAAGTCTAGTTCCATTAACCACCCCACCGATTCACTCCTTCTTCTCTTCACCGAGTAAAGAGAACAAGTACAGACTCAAACCCACAAAACCTTCACACGCAACCGAGTTTGCTCATCATGGACCAAACCCGCGCAGAGACAATCACCGATTTCTTCCAAACCCTCATGGACCTCAACGTCAAGATCCCCAAACTAGCCCGGGGTATGGAAGTAAAGCTACTAGCTGCATGTATGGATGCGGGTGTGGCACCCTTTTGGGATGACTTCACTGAGCTCTCTCTACCGCAACTCCTCACTCTGGCGAGGAAGATGGAGCACGAAGCGGCGGATATGGTTAACGCTAGAATGCAGGGCAATAATTGGGATGATGAGGATATGAGGGAGCAGAAAATGGAGTACCTCAGGGCTGTAGCAAAGGTTGGGCCTAATTGTACGCCGAAGGGGTTGGAGGAGTTTGCGGAGAGGGCGAGGGGGATTGTGGAGATGGAGAAGATGGAGAGGGATATTGAGAAGGGTATGGCGGGACTTATGGTGTGAGGTGACGGGATGATGATGATGTATACGAAAGAAGGGATGATAGAAGCAAACAAAAGCTTTATCGACACCTGGTGGTGATGAAACGCGAGCACTAGCAGTCCGAATGTGTTGTTCCTGCCAAACGTCAATCCAATGCGATGTGAAGTTGAACAGTGGTGACTTACAGACTAACCTGAATGCGATGAAAGTAGCATCGTTATCAACGACCCAAGCCACTTTGGTCTCAGATCATCAATCCCACTCGCTGTTTGACCATCCAAACACATTCTCCGCACCGCTTACACAGCGATAGTCGTAAGCTGCTCCGCCTCCAAACACAATATTGAGCCAGAGCATTGCTTGCTTTCGGTCCAGAGTTATAACATATCCCAGTTGCACAACACAAGATCGACGGGTTTTGCATCGTAATCACGCCGTCACTGAACAGGCCCTCAAGATGTCAACTGACGATACTCCATGACCGTCTCACGAAAACAGTGAGTAGTCTGTATCAACTGTAAAAAGTGGTTCGCAGCTTCAACATATCGAGTCTCTTGCTCCTGATATGTCAAAGGCGTGTCGACGTACTTTTGCTCAAGGTCGCTCCGCATGCGAGCTTCCAGTCTAGACACAAGATCGGCTACCTCGGCTGGCTGGAAAAGGAGTTCGTCAAGGTTGTGTGTGGCGCTCAGGCTGGAATTCATGGCGTTGATAGCGTTCGTAAGGGCGGAGATGAACGAGCCCTTGATGTCTTGGACTGGTGGTGGAGGAGGACGAGGAAGAGGGTACTGTGTATCAGCAGTATGAGCAGCGCCGCTATCGCCACGCAACCCAAGGGCGTCTGCAACATGTCCCTTCGCAGCCGAGACAAAGTTCCTCAGACGCCGATGGTAGCCCTTCACCTTGTCCACGAACGAGTTGAGTCTGCCGCAATCACGGAGTTCAGACTCAGATTGGCTATCGTACGCTCTTTCGATTGCCGCGTCATCTCGCTTGAAGATTGAGCCCTGCATTGCGGAGTCGATGCGGTGAAGGACTGCGAGTTCGTCTTGATGCACCATATCCATCATTTCTGAAGGCTGTAACCGCTCTTTCTGCGCTGACTTTGCTTTATCGTTCATGCGCTTCGCTTTGCGTAGCATACGACAAAGGAAGTGTCGGCGCTTGTCGACAGACAATCCCTGTAGCAAAAGTGGGGCTTTGAGAGGATTGAGCGCGTCGAACTCTTCCTGGTTGAGCGTCGGATCGGCCCAGCTATCGTGAGCGGTTACGTCGGCCATCTCGACGTCTCTGGAGTACAAGACCTCTTTTACTCTTGCTAGGAAGTGGCTTGTATCGCCCAGGGCGATGAGCTCCATTTGTACTCCGTCTTTGTATTTCTCATCAAGCCACGTGTCTGACGGCGGAGTAGAACGAGATGACACTTCCGTGTCTATGTCGTGGAGAACCTTGGCATCCAGACCGTGCGTCAGCTCGTAAAGCCCGTCCTGATCGAGCAGCATGCCCTGGAAGGGGCTTAATTTGCAGTGCATTCTTTCCACTTCGTCGTGGAAGAACTCTAGTCCTTTTTGACGAAGCTCGTAAGAGATTCCGTCGAGGTAGCCGTGATTCCCTTGCCGTGGCGCTAACTTCATGTCTCCAAGTGAAGTCGACTCCTCAGATGCGTTACCAGGCTGGAAATCGAATACAGCGCCAAGGAAAGGAGAGTTTCCGGATCCTGGAGCGAAATTGGTCTGTACGTCCGGAGCACCATCGAAGTCATAGTCCATGTCGTCCGACTCGGCTGTAGTCGTTGCATTTCTCTCATGGCTGTCATTCCAGTTTAAACCAGTTTTCATCGGAAGTGTGTTGGTCTGCCAGTGGCCAGCGACAGAGCCCGAAGCCACGTTCCGCTTGGCAGCGAGGATGGGTGCAGGCACAGGCACACCCGAGCAGTCACTGACCTTGGAGACGAAACGGCTAATCAGAGCGAAAAAGTCCTGCTTGTCTGATATATGTTCAAGCTCGAACTTGATAGCAGCGGTTAACTCCTTGTACCGATCTTCGGTGATCGCAATGTCCGTGGCGGTGATGTGGTAGTCGATGGCTTTGCTTAGTATGCCCTCGAGCGAGTCCAAAGCCTCGTTGTCGTTGTGGAAAATCTTCTCCATGCGGAAGATGCTGTTCAGGGATGAACCGATGTCTTTGACGCCTTGCTTGCGGACTCGCTTGGGAAGAGTAGAGCCGACGACGTATATGACGGTGGTGCGCTCAATGTTCTTGTCGATGGCGAGGTCGGCGAAGCCGCTGAGCGCTGCTTTGACGTCCGCGAGATCATGGCTCGCTGGGGGTTGTGCAGGCTATGAGATGTTAATCACGAGTCTGGCTATCATAACGTGATACCAACCATCGACGAGCCATACGATGCGCCGCTGGCGAACATGGTAGCAGTGTCCATGGCCTCTATGATGTTAGATCTTGACCCATTGAGTTAATTTTAACGCCTTACAAGACTGCGGTCGACTAGGCTGTGCTCGGAGGTGACAATAGTAGACTGTATATGCGTGTGTGATAAGGAGTGGCAAAGCAGAACCAGTAGGGAGCGATTTGTCTAGCAGAAACTGTGAAGTTCACAGCGAATGAAAGTGTGTGATGGAATAGATCAACCGATAGAAGCGCTGATGGTTCAGGGAACGGAGGTGCGAGAAGTGTGTCTGTGCCAGCGGTGTTGAGCTGGGTAGCAGAGGGGCGATGGTAGTTTACAGCGTTAGAGGCGGCGCAGGATATAGCATTGTTCGACTCGCCAAGACTGCCAGCAAAGCGCGTTGCGGGTCAGCTGCTATTGTAGCTATTGTGGTAGGTCTTCGTGGTAGTGAAAGTGCAAAACGGCTGAGCACCGGCGCAACGTGAGCTGCAGCCGAAGTAGATCTTACAATGTTCTGCTGAACCGTTTGCACATGCTCATCCCAAGGTCACCAGTATGAGCACTTATTCATGACAGTGGTACGATTGGCATGATCTTCTTAGAGTTCGAATTTCTTGGCGCTCTCTGCGCGAGATATCACAGCCCTCCGTCCAGGTGTTTGCTTCCTGCATCATCCGTAGTATGTACAATCGCTGTGCCCGGTATCGACCCCATTGCTTGTCATGTCATCCACACCCCTCTGGATGCTCATCAAATGCTCAGTGATCCCAAGGGTGCTTCCAGCCGAGAAGCGCGGGTCCGTCCTTCTTCGCGCGGTACATCAACTGCCATTGTTAGCGCTATGCCACCTTCAACCTGGTCGCTTCACGTACGAAGAACCACATGGATGCGCCGAGGCCAGTAGCCATGAATCGGTAAAGCGGTCGGACTGGGTGGATGTGGATAGGGTGGTTCGGGTGCGGCGCATATTTGGGCGGACCCATGCGGGCTCGTGTGGATTGCATGATGTTTGTGAGCCTGGCAAGGTATCAGTATCGTGAGACGTCTTCCGAGGGTAGTAAGGCATCGAACCTGGTTGCTATGGGGTGCAATGGCCTGTTGACGTCTTCGTGATGGACGTGTGGTTAAGGTCGATCGGAGGCTACGCTAGCGTGCGGCGCCAAGGCTGTGCCATCAACCGTGGATCGCGTTCTTTGCTCCTTCACCAACGATAATGTCTTCGCCTATTATCATGCCCGCACAATAGCTTCTGCTTTGCAACTCCCATCCATGGCAGCGCATGCCATCGCGACCACGTAAATCTCGCAACATCACGCCACCGGTTTCGAGAAATAGCCCGACTCTCCTGCGGACATCTGCGCCGAGGACCACTAGCAGCCGGTACAAAGCGTAGCCGCGAACATTCCATCGCGAACCCAAGCCACCACCACCGCCGCCGACATGGCGAACTCGGCAGGCGCGACGCCATCGCAGACGCTGCAGCGACGCTTCAAAGGATGCAGCAAGATCGGCGAATACGAGATGATGAAGAAGCTGGGAGAGGGCACTTTTGGTGAAGTCCACATGGCGCGACAAAAGGCCACTGGCAGCATCTTTGCGCTGAAGAAGATCTTGATGCACAACGAAAAGGACGGCTTCCCTATTACGGCGCTGCGGGAGATCAAGCTGCTCAAGATGCTATCGCACGACAACGTCCTCAAGTTGGAAGAGATGGCCGTGGAACGACCAAAGACCGAGGGAAGGAAACGCGCCATTCTATACATGGTCACGCCCTACGCCGACCACGATCTATCAGGTCTCCTCGACAACCCCGAAGTCCAGTTCAAGGAGGCACAAATCAAGTGCTACATGCTGCAGCTGTTCAAGGGCCTGCGCTACCTCCACGATAACCACATCCTACATCGAGATATGAAGGCTGCCAATCTTCTTATCAATAACCGCGGACGGCTACAAATAGCGGATTTCGGTCTTGCGCGACACTACGACGAGGCGGTACCACAACGAGGCAGGGGCAACGGCGAGGCGAAGCGCGAATACACTACATTGGTTGTGACTAGGTGGTATCGGCCTCCGGAGCTTCTTCTGCAGCTCAGGAAGTACACCCCGGCTATCGACATGTGGGGTGCCGGCTGTGTGTTTGGAGAAATGTTCAAGCGCAAGCCCATCCTTGCAGGACAGAGCGACATTCACCAAGCCCAGATCATCTTCGAGCTGGTCGGGTCACCAAACGACGACAGCATGCCGGGGTGGCGCGATCTCCCTGGCGCTGAACCCATACGCGCATTCCCCGTCCACACCGGTACCATCGCTCAACGGTTCCGCGAGCTCTCGCCCGTCGGACTATCGCTCATCAAAGACCTCATGAGGCTCGACTGGCGGAAACGAATCAACGCCATCGACGCCATCGACCACCCATACTTCCGAGAGCAGCCACTTCCCATGCGCGAGGAAGACATCCCTACTTTTGCAGATTCACACGAGCTAGATCGACGGAACGCGCGAGGCCAGAAGCAAGCACTACCACCAGCACCACAAGGCGGCACAGTCGGCGGCGGACCAAACGGCGAATGGACCGGCCAAGGCCCACCACCACAATCATGGCAGAACGGCGACCGAAGATACGGCGGCCCACAAGATCGCGGTCCGCCAGGCGTCGACAGAGGCCAAAGAGGAGGCTACGACCGCCGCTACGAACACCGACCTCCACCCCCACCACCAGGTGGTGACCGCAGACCGAACTGGGGCAACGGCGCAGACAGAGGCCACAACGGTCTCCCACCCCCTCCCGCAGACGGCCGTCACCCCCTCCCACCCGTCCCCCGCTACGGCCCCGATGGTGCAGACCGCAGGAGACAACCGCCAGCTACCGCCGGCGGCGACACATATATACCCAGCTACGGCGCAGAAGGCCCCCGCCGTTCCCGCGAACCAGACGATCGACCCCGCCGCGGCTCGCGCGATTCGGGTAACTCGAGAGAAGGATACACAGATGATCGTTCGGACCGCAACCGCGCGTACAGAGATCGACCCGATCGGAATGACGCGAGAGGTTTCGCGAGGGAACGAAGAGACGGACGGACACGATCGCGCAGTCCAGACCGGAGGGACCAAAGACGCGATAACAGAGATAACAGAGAAAGAGACGCGGATATCTACCGTAGACGATAGGTCTGCTACGGATGCAATAATCGACAAGCGCACGACGGGATCTATGCCATTGGTACATGTACTGGTACACGATACGAATAGACACTCGATGAGCGAAACAATACGTGGCAGTTTGAGAGCTTCGCTGTCAAGATGCGTGTGCGTGAGAGGTGGGGTGTTGCGGCTGAACCTGTGGTTTATTAGGATGAAGAACGGGTTGCTGCGGAGATGGGCTTGGGCGTTTCTGGTTGAGCATTTTTATGGCGTATTTGACTTCTTGGCTGGGCGGAGGGGGTTTTATTGGTTCGATTATGGGCATGAATACCAAGTTCTAGTGTATGATAGGATGGACAGACAGACAGACAGAGGGATAGCATAGCACAGGTAGTTTGGGGAGGTAGTGGTAAAGAAACATTGTCACAACACTTTGATGCCTTAGAAACCATGATATCCAGAAGGATCACGACGGCTGGTCTTCCAATCTGTGTTATGTCATGTCAATGCTTGGCAAGTGCTGCAGCTACTGCTGAACAAGCTTCAACGAGGCAGCTGCGCCTTGGATCCTGTCCTCGTTCACCAACACGACCACCACCACCCGCAAGAGCTGGCAGCCCGCAGCGAGTCAATTCCGAAGCGAACTTTCGGCGGTTCAGTTACCATTAATGGCGGCAATCTCAGATGTAATTGGGCGTCATGAACCGCGTCTGGGCAGGTTTGGCGCGTCCTGCATGATGGTGGCACAGCAGGTGTACCCCGCAGACAAGTGAGGGACGGGTGTCCTAGTCGCCTTCCACTATTCTGCCTGGCGTGTTGCCCATCACTCACATCTCTATCGACTTCGACTTTGAGGGTCGTTACGCCGTCTTGCGGATCGTTACGTCGTCTTTGCGGCAACAACCTTCTTCGTTGACCTCTTCGCCGTCTACTACTCCTGAAGCATTCCGTCACAATCCATTCGCGACACTATCGGTGCCTTCCTTGTGTCCTGGGGCTGCGTGCCTCCGCTCTCAGGTCTTTCCACAACGCTCATGCTTCCTAGCTCTGTCGGAACACAACCTTGGAGGATCCTTCACGATGCCTCGGTGTGCTGAGTGCAGTAAAATTGTAGTCCCGAAGTGCGACGGGCAAACCGTGCTCCAAGAGCTTCGAACATGGAATTCCGGACCCGAACTGATTAGGGACGCTGAAACTGGTTGCGACGTGTGTTGCTTCTTCCGGAATTACCTAGGAAAGGCCTACATGGCCTATATGGAAGTCGCGTTCGTGCTTCAGGAATTCCACAACAAGATATCTCTGATTTGCAACCACTGGTCCCACGACTCCATAGAGGAAATCTCGTTACGTTTGCACCCTGGAGTCAACACCATCCAATTTCTCCTCAGACCCAGCGCTGCCACTGACCCATTCTTGTCTTTCGCATCCGATGATGCCCCGATCTTGCGCGCTTGTCAGCTTTTCCAAGATTGTGTGCTCAGCGAAAACGAAACACATGTTGGCTGTAAGCCAGTGGACTTGGATCGATCTCGCAGGGCATCTTCACTACCACGTCGCTTACTGGACCTTAGTCATGAGAATGAGATCGTCACAATTGACGTGCAATCATGGATTGCTGCGGCATACGCCACGATCGACGAGCTTTCTGACTACTGTACGTTAAGCTATCGCTGGGGCAAAGGGCCACCGGACTGCATGCTGCGAGAAGAATTTACCGGGAACCGGGTATTGTCTTTTGCCAGCATGCCGCAGACCTTTCAAGATGCGGTTATCGTTGCACGAGGCCTAGGAATACGTTTCATCTGGATTGACGCCTTGTGCATAGTTCAACCAAGCGCACATGGGAATCATGCTGACTGGAACGTAGAAGGACCGCGTATGTGGCTTGTTTATCAAAACGCTATGTGCACTATTTCTGCTACCTGCTCTAGGGATCCCAACGACGGTTTTCTACACAAAGTTGGGATTGACTGCATGAGACCATGTGACATCCTTCAACAACTCGGAGATGGAACCAGAGTTTCTTCGTACCTTCATCCAGAGAACTCGGCGTTTCGCTTCTCGGTTCTTCTTTCCGCTTTGAATAGACGAGGCTGGGTCGCACAGGAACGCCTCCTCTCGCGAAGATTACTACATTTCACCGAGGAGGGTGTTTTCCGGGAGTGTCTGGAATCCGATTTGGATATGACTCCATTTCAAGATAGCCTCCCCGAAGAACGACACCATGCTTGTTACATGACCCCCAGAAATTGGCTCTTTTTCATCGAATACTATTCAGAGTCATCCTTCACGAATCACGCAGACCGTCTGATAGCGCTATCATCTATCGCGAAGTCTGTACCACGAGAGCAATTCGGGAAGCGATATTTTGCGGGCATCTGGGAGGCGCACCTATTGCAATGCCTCTCTTGGTACTCTCCAGATCCGTGTTCTGTCACTTCAAGAGCATCGTACCTCGCTGATGCGCCCTCTTGGAGCTGGGCATCGGTTCCCGGTGGAGTTAGATACCTTGGTCATGCCATTCGAGAGCCGTTACAGAATCTTGTCGAGCTAGAAGATGTGTCATTGTTGCTAGCTCAGGCCGGCAACCCCTACGGCAATCTGAAGAGGGGGGCCCTGAAGCTTCGCGCTCGACCCATTAGTATGTCTCAGCTTGGAAAGCTTCATAGGGTGGACGTCAAGATAAACTGGGACGAACAGCAAGACTACTCAACAACGGTGAGCAGGATGTATACGGTGGTTCCGCTTCGGGCGGAGCATAACAGCGAACATCTCGTTTGCAACTTTAACGCTCTGATCGTCGCACCTGTACCGGCAGTAGATGAAGAAGGCTTTTGCGGTTCCTCTACTGTGTATAGGCGTATTGGATACATGGAAGCCTCTACTGTGTATAGGCGTATTGGATACATGGAAGGAACTCACTATGCTCAGCTCATGGACGGAGATACTCCTGTGCCGTGGATGTTTGTCCGGCCTACTGGTCCCCATCTATCGTACGAGAAGCTATTTCCCGATGATGCAACCTTGGAAACTATAGTCATAGTGTAATACAATTGGACGATCAGCCCATTATCTTCTATGCGCAAGCCAAAAGTCTAGCAACAATATTAGATGGGCAAGAGTCTAAGTTGTCACTTTGCGGACTGGACTTCCAGTTTCCACTTTGCCTCTTACCCAAATCACTTGCGATCGACATGCGACGGCGTGGCGTTCCTCAGATCACGCAGCGAACTGCTCGACTCAAGTATCTTCAACAGCAGAGTTGGATAGTCCCATCCCAAGCCAGCAGCAGCCAGTGCCGTCAGACTAGCTTGGTTCTCTCTGCCAGGCCGACCAGGACCTGTCATGTTCTGGAAACAGTTTAGCCATGTTATCAACCGCAGTTCTCAATTAACCTACCGGTTTCATATTGACATCAAAAAGCGCAAACGGTGAAGATCCATCCTCCGTGAACCGACGAGCATCAACCCGAATAGGAGCAGTACATTGGAGCAACTTCGCCACCTCAACACACTGTCGCTGTACATCACGATACTGTGGATCAGCCAGGTGTTCGTCTTCGGAAAGACAGCGAGAGTTCTGCATAACAGCGACTGTGCCATTGTACGGTGCCACACCTATGAGTAGTCAGTAAGCATTGCATCCGCATTCCCAAGTCCACAAAACCAACGCACCTTCAGCGTGATTAAACCGTTCCACAACCGGCATCGCCCAATACCCATCCTGACCCGATGCAGGCGAAGGCGGCATAACAGTAACAGTGACTTCCTGACCCGCAAGAAAGTCTTCGACGATCACGGACGCGTCCTTCCCCAGTAAATCGCGGCAATGTTCGCTCAGTTCCTCTTCGGAGCGACAAACTCTCACTCCGTGGCTTCCTCGTCCTCTAACCGGCTTGGCGACAACAGGATAGCGAAGATCTTCCCGCAGCACTGCCGCAAGATCTTCTTCGTCTTGGACGTCATGTGCACCCGGTAGCGTAAACCCACTCCGAGCACGAAGGAGGTTGTTGACGAATGCCTTGTCATCGCACAGCTCCACCAGTTTCGGCGGTTGTCCAAAGACCTTCAACGTCTCAGCCACACTTGTCAGACTATCTGCCGTCTGGAGCGGATGATCCGCGAAGAGTATAGTGTTAGCCCAGAGATGCGTCGCTCCCTTCTCCAGCGCACGCGTAATTCCAGCTTCGGAATCGCCAAAGCACCAGTCTGCATCGTTGCAAGGGTCTGGAGGAGACACGGGTGTGACGACGGAGATGGGGCTGCAGTGGGTTAGTGCGTGGGCGATGTCTGCGCTGGAGTCGCTGTATCCTTGGTAAAGATGTCAATGTAGCTGCGAAGGGTCCTACTTGCGAGATGCGGATGCATACCTCCGGTTTTTTTGGGCTTGCGCACCCCGTTGATCAGTGGTGGTGAGAGTTCTTGGTATAGGACTGCTACGCGTGGCGCGGTGGTGGTGTACATGTGTCGACGGGTCGTAGGCACATTGAGGCGGCGTCCAAGAGCTGATTTCGCACTGCGCTTCGTGAGACTGATCATGACTGATCAGCAAGCTAGAAGTATTAGGGAATGGTCGGAATGGTGGTATCGAACTACAAGATCGCGCTCGGAAAGGTCGGACGAGCGTTCGGAAAGATTTCCGAGCCTGCCGTGCACCAGAAGATATCACGGCTTCTGCACAAAGTCGGATCGCACCAGCGACTATGGTTTCATTGTGGAACCAGTGAGCGCTCTCAAATGTAGTACGCACGTGGCTGAGAGGCCTCGTCCAGGCTAAAGATTGCAGTGCATGTCTGCAAAGATGCATTGCGCGGCCATTTGCATACCCGCTGTTACAGGAACCTTCCTGTCGGTACCTTCCCGCGGGTTACTCCCGAATCCAACCCGCGTGGCTCGTTACATTGCATGGCGAGGCTGTGCGAAAGTTACGAATGACTGGCTACTTTCTTGTTGTTCTGGCTACTTCCCTGGTATTCATACCTGCTCCTCCGCGCTAAAGATTGCAGTGCATTGGCGGCATTGGGTAATTACACAATGCAGAACGAATAGAGTGCGCATTGGACTCAGAGTGCGATCTTGACATGCGATATCTGCTACGTTGCGCAAGTGAACCGAACTCCTGCAAAATGCAGGATAGCACACAAGTTTGTGCCTGCATGTCGATGTTCCTAGGGCCGCTTCGATATCGGTACGCACGCGAACGAGACGACCTCTCCCGCGCTAGAGATTGCAGTGCCATCCGGCGCCATCTGAAAGTGTCCTCCCGAGCATGGGTTGAACATGTATGGCTTGCAGTGATGCGCAACAAGGCTGTGCAACAGACGTAGGTTATTGGCTGCTTCCTCGACAGCCATGCCCGCTCTTCTACACTAGAGATTGCAGTGCAGTGAGAGCCTCATGCCCAAAATGAGTGAAAGCCCCGATGACCAAAACGAGGGAGAGCCCCGATGACTTGGCAATGTAGTCCCCTGTTCTCAGCTTCACCGGTGGGCTGCAGTGCATGGTTCTCTCGCCACCATTTCTACCCGTTCATTTACACCAATGATTGCCGAAGCGGATGTAGCCTGAACCCGCATAGCTTGCAGCGATGTATAACAGGGCTATGCGAAAGACGTGAATTATTGGCTATATATGTTTCGCCTACGTGCTCGTCGCCGCTAGAAATTGCAGTGCATTCAACAGCACAGCCGCAAATGCTCCGCATCCACGACGGCCAACAAAAGGCATGTTAAGAGAGCGATGTATTCGCTGTTCTTAGCTTCATCAGTGAGCTGTAGTGCGCCCGCGTGGCTTTTAGCGATCTGTAACAGGGCTATGCAAAAGACGTCGACTATTGGCTGCTTCCTTTACACACATACCCACTCCTTTGCGCTAGAGATTGCAGTGCAAGACGCACCGTACTAGCCACTCCATCGACGGGTTGTATGCTCTTGTTATAGCACTGCCACACATGGCGCAGAAGTCTTGTACATGTGACGAAAAGCTGCAGCAACACTCAGGCAGCGTCTGAGATCGGACTGCGCAACGCACCCCTCACACCAGATCATCGCAGCCGGAGGAGTTTGAGGCGCTTGAACATTGTTGAACTGTTGAAGTAAGAAGTCGAGCTCGTGTAGAGCCGAGAAGCTCTGGGAGTCTTGGGGATGTTTTCAAGCTCCGAGGCCCTTTCTAGCCTGGTACACATGAGGCTGGGACAACCTCTTCCACGCTAGAGATTGCAGTGCTTGCGCAAGTGAGGCTGGGACGTCGGCATTCGGCTACTGATCACTCCCTAACCCAATATAGGCTGAGCCTACATGGTTTCCAGCAATGCGTGACGGGGCTGTGCAAAAGTCTTACATCATTGGCCACGTTTTTCGCGTACATGCTCGTCGCTGCTAGAGATTGCAGTGCACATTTGACTACTGTACGGAGTAGGCGCATACACGGCGCACCACCGGTCAGTCACCAGCCGATCCGATCTGAATGTGCCCCTGGCTTGTTGTCATGACCAATTACGGTCCTTTGCAAAAGCCATTTGACAGCCTTCGAATCCTTGGAAAGTTGCATGATTGGCTAATTCCCTCACATACCTCTTCTTCCACGCTAAAGATTGCAGTGCAGCGCGATCTGTAGTGATCCGTGGCTCGTGCATTACATAAACCTTTTGACAGCCATCGAATGCTTGGAGAGCCGCAACATTGGCTGGCTACCTGCCCCACATACCTTCTCTGCCACGTTAAGAATTGCAGTGCACTGATTGCCGCATAAAGATCTAGCGCGACGCAGCTGGGCTGTGCAAATGGTCCTGCATTATTGGCTTATTCATTGACATACATGCTCGCCCCAGTTAGAGTTTGCAGTGCAAGCTGGGTTGTGTGATGAGACAATCAGAATACAATGAGATTGTCTATCAATACAGCAGCGTTAAGATGATCAAGATCATGACTGTAACAAGACAGTGGTTGATTGGCACTTCCTATATTTCCCGTAGCCAGCACATCCTCATCTCCTACTCACAACCCCTCCCACTCCGGCCGACACCGACACCCCCTCCGCCTAACATGCAACACCCCCCTCTCCGCCGCCCTTACCATCCATTCTACCCACTCAATCTCATGTTCCACAACGCCCCTCCACTCCCCCGTCTCAATCCTCTCTGGTTTACTCTTGACCAACCAATCCCGTAACCTCCTCACGCAGGCCTCCAAACTCTCCGCCACACTATCTTCCGTCGCACCAGGCTTTTGCTGCTCCAGATACATCATGCGTTCCATTCGTGTCAAGAGGGCGAGTTGGATTGATGAGGACTCTGTGTATTTCGAGAGGAGTAAAGTGGCGGAGGCGCGGAGAGCGAGTGCGTCTTCGCGCGTCGCGGTTGTGCAGGGGAGGTGTCGTTGTGGACGGGTGAGGTGGAAGGAGCCTGGGGGGCGGAGGACGACGAGGTCGTCGAAGGAGGACGTTGGGGTTGGTATTGTTGCTGTGGAGTCTCGTGATGTGGGCCTGGTTGATGACTGTGATTGTTGGGATAGGTGAGATTGTTGCGTGTGTTGCGGTTGTTGTGATCCCATTTTGCCATCCCAGTTCAGATACGGATTACTATCCAGTGACCTCGTGGTGTATAGTTCAGACGACTGGTCGTCAGCGTCCCCGCACTCGGTGTCGGGGTAGTCGTCTGAGTCGTACATGAACGTCTCCGAGTAGCTGAATCCATAGCCTTCTCTTTTCTTGCCCGGTTTGATCAAGACCGGAGGTTGGTGGTAGATGGACGTTTGTGATTGGATGGGTTGGACCGGCGATGCTTTGGTGGTAGATTGTGAACTCGAGGAGGAAAAGCTAGCACCGGGAGTCATGGTCAGCCCCGAGAAACTTTGGTTGAAGTTATTCTCGGAATGAAGTTGTCGCTCGACATCATCGATGAAGGATTCAGAGAAGGAGAAGCGGAGTTGGATGTTCGATGATGGTGGTGGCTGGCTCTCTTGACTGCTCTTGAGATCACGTGCTGGTATCGATTCTCTTTGCGATGGCATGGTTGGCGCTGGCCTGTGGGATAAAGGGTTGTTGTATTGCTGCTGCCGCGATATGAGCCTGGGCGACTTTGCGCCGTGTATATATAGTACTTACAGACCCTCGCCACCTAGGCGGCCGCTTGCTCTTTCCCTCGATTGCTCGACGCTCTTGTAACTTTGTCTGTTCTACAGATACTGGAAGAGCAAGTACATCGATACTTCTACTTCTGCGCAGACTGACTTGCCGCTGCTTTGTTGGGCCTTCTCTTCTCTGTTTGATGTCAGCCCTTGATCATTCGTCGCGCAAGTTGACTTACCTTTACAGGCATGATCGGAGTATGCATGCGCGTCGCGCGTATTGGGTTGTTCGATATACCAGGGTGGTCGCACGTGTTTCGTATAGGAAGCAGGGGCGGGAATATCTTCGAATTTGGGGAACGCGACTAAGATAACTGTGTTGATTGTTGATGCGTCGTGTATATATCCCGGGGTACGTCAATCGGAAGGCGCGTCCGAGTCGCGTGGGTGTTGACTAGCGTGGTTAGCGCAAAACACGACTCTTGTCCTATCACCACGGTGATCTTGAGTATCCTGAGACACAGCGCCCCACTTTCTTGTAGTATCCGATCACACTTGCGATATTTGGGTGGTGAGGATAGACTCTTGTCGCATTACTTTTGCGCATTCCAATGGTATCATTTCTAGCAATTCGTTCTTGTCCCCCTTCCTCGACTAGTGTCGCGAACGAGCTACTTCTTTCCGGTCTCCAATAGTTCAACACCTGTCCTCACAACGCCGATCGCTGCGCCCGTTTGTATGGCTTCGTTACCACCTCCACTCAACCTGTACTCGATGTCTGCCAGACCTGCCACCCAAGTCACCATGACCTGCGGCGGCACGTCGTTGCTGACTAGCTCCTCACTGATCGCGGTCAGGATATCTGCCAGCGCGAGCCCCTTCATGATCTTCAGGTTATTGACCGTGCGCAAGCACTCTGTCATGTCATTCTTCGATAGTAACGTCTCGATGATGTACTTGATATCTGACGGGTGTGGTGCAGCTATGCAGTCGTAGATGGTAGTTTGCGTGATCTCGTCGCGCACGATCGTGGATGGGTCGGGTGCGGGCTTGCCGGGTGTCTGAAGCGGCGTGCTTGATGCGTGACAGGCCTGTAGAACGTTAAGTGCTCGCCTCATGTCTCCTTTGCTGAGCGTGACGAGCGAGTCGGTTGCGTCTTGCGTGATGTTGACCTTCTCCTCCTCAATAACCTTGTCGACCAAGTTCCTGATGTCCTGATCCTTCAGCGGGGAAAATCGGAACCTCGTGCATCGTGATAATAACGCTGGCGAGAGCTTGTGTGTGTAGTTGGCGATGATACAGAAGCGAGTGTTCGCGGTGTACTTCTCCATGATTCGTCGCAGGGCCATCTGCGCGGTCGCAGTCATGGCATCGGCTTCGTCGAGGATAATGAGCTTGAACGTTGCCAACGATGAGTCTCCTGCCTTGGGTGCCGCAGAGAAGATCTGCTTTGTGCTACTGAACGTCTTGATCTGCTCCCGCACAACATCGATACCCCTGTCGTCTGATGCGTTCAGCTCCAAGACCATCTGTCGCATGTTCTTGTTTCCATATATGCGGCGTGCGAGTGCGAGGACGGTCGACGTCTTTCCGGTACCTGGAGGGCCGTAGAGGAGGAGATGGGGTAGTCGCTAGGAATGTTAGCGGCGATCTGTCTGGGTAGGTTCTCGGTCGTACATTTGAGTCAACAAACTTGTTGATGGTGGCTATTATGTCCTTGTGGCCTTCGACGTCATCGAGGGAATTTGGTCGGTACTTCTCTACCCTATCTGATATTCAGCAAGTGTACAGAAGACGACATGGATTAAGTCTCACCATGGTAGGGAATCTTCAGCTTCAACGGGTAGATTTGCAGCGCTCCTCTTGCCCTTCTTTTGGTCTCCGCCGAAAGTGATCGAGTTGTCTACCGCGGGCGCGTCCACGTCCATCTCATCTTCGTAGTCGGACATTGCGATAGCTGTAATGAAGATGCAGGGAGTCTCTGTATGGATTGAGGTTGAATTGAGGTAGCTAGGACGTTGATTGGCGGTTTGGAGGCTGTTAGTAAGAAATCCGAGGGAGACGCGCCACGCGCAGGGACGCGTTGATGGGGCGGCTTAGTCACCCCCCGCTGCTCAGCCCTACCAGCACACCTCACCGAGCGGAGCTGCGCCGTCACCTCCGCCGAGCTCCCAGAACACCGCCAGACACCACCAAGCTAGGCGACAACACCTAAGATGCCGGTGAGTTATAGCATCGTGTCTTCAGATTGATGCCTCAGGGCATGTTCCAACATTTAGAGCAGCAGCTGACACACCTAGGCCTACCACTCCGTCTTCCTCGATGAGCCCAATCAGCAATTGATTGGTACAGCTATACCCTCCAGCTTCGGCGCGAGCATAACTGACTGATGACGCATCAGGCAACTTCGCTCTCCTCCCACTCCGCACACGCACCCGTGGCCCTGCTATCCAGCTGCCAGCTCTACCTGCCGATGTCACAGAGCTCACCATCGATGCCTCACACGAGTCGTACGATCCGCTAGACGAGATCCTTGCCCTCTTCCGCGCCAACACATTCTTCCGCAACTTCGAGATCAAGGGCCCCGCCGACCGTGTCCTCATCTATGGCATCCTATACGTTAGCGAGGTACTGGGAAAGATCAAGCCGGGCATGAGTCGGAGAGAAGCCGAGAAGGTATGCTGTCGAGAAGACGGATGAAGAAGGTCGACGCTGGAAGCTGACTATGTGGCAGGCTGTCATGAACATTGCGCTGGATACCAACTTTGCGATACCGGGCGACGCAGGCTTCCCGCTCAACCAGGCCTTCGAGGCGCCAGCGGACAGGAACGGAGCTGAAGTGCTCCGACAGTACATTATGCAAATGCGACAAGAGCTGGCGACACGGTTACTCAACAGGGTATACGCGGACGAGACAAACGCGCCCAGCAAGTGGTGGCTCAGCTACACCAAGAGGAAGTTCATGGGCAAAGCGTTGTAGATGAGCATGGACTTGGTTACTGCGTGGTTGAGGTTGTGTGACAGATGTCGCAATCAATGAACTAACAAGACATTCTTTGGTTTACGACATTGGTGTAGTACTACCTTCTCATCATGTTCATGTGTCTCTTCTGTCAAAACGTCCTGGCCCAATCTCGACATCCCGTGATTTTGTATAATTTCCAGGGTCTAGTCACGCGCTGACGTCATGAGCTCTTGCCCTGCACTACCTGCGTTTGGGCAGCAGGCGCGGACGCTGGCGTTCTATTTGCTTGATCGCCGAAGCCTGCACTCCCGCTGCAACATCAACGCGCAACACCCATCTTCTAATTTCTAATCCCTTATTGTGCGCGCACTCGATTCGGCGGGGTCATCTTCAGCTGCCCTTATCATCGCTCGCTACACATGCCCCGGCTGCCCTTTGGACCTAGCCACATGTCAGCTCCACCGACAGGCCAAACAACAGAGATGCAGGGTATGCCAAGAGTCCCGGAAGGCTTACGCCTGATGTCCAGCGCTAACACTTGTCGAAGAAGAAGATGAATGGACCGATGTGTCCGACGACATTGCTGGACTTGGTTTGGACGGCCACGGCAAGGCTGACGATGAGAGCAACAAACCGCTTTCGGAGGAAGAGCTTGCGCTATTACCCAACAGTAGGTCTTTCAACTTCACGAACATCAGTCCCGTGATAGCAAGCCCCGACGCACGCCGTTCAAGGTGGTTAACTGAACGCGCAGTGCCCATTCTCTTCAGCAACGACCTACCACCATGCGGTCTACTGCCGCAACTTGCATACGAAAACACCGTCCATCGGCTGCGCAAACTCTGGCTCGAGCGCGCCCACCAAGAATCCGCGGACATCCCCCTCCCCAGTCTCTGCCGCCTAGTCCTGGACGACCTCAAAGCCGAAGAAGAAGAGCTCCCAGCCGGTAGCCAGGCCGGAACCAAGAACCGCACTCCCTGGCGCCGCGAAACCGTCTTCCAGTACGAACTCCGCTGGGCCAAGTACTTTGTCCGGGAAGCCGAGACCGCGGAGAAGAGAGTCACGATGACGGAGAAGCAGCTCGATAAGCAGGACTTCATGGATAAGATGTACCCGATACCTAAGGAGTTGAAGATTTATGTCAACAACAAGAAGAATCAGAAGATGGTGTCGGATATGTGGAAAGAGTGGCATCACAAAAAGAGAGGGACTGTGGAGCAGGAGAGTGCGGGGCTGGGTGTTGGGGGTGCGAAAGAGGTCGATGCTGAGCCTGCTGGGGATGATGGAGAGGATGGTGAGGAGCAGGATGGGCAGAGACAATTTGTTGATCCGACGGCTTAGGAGCTGAGTCGGCAGGAACTTCATGAATGGCTGCTGGGTTTGGGATTGTGAAATGTCTTGTAACATTATCTTGCTTTAGAGAGTATTCGGTACATTCAAGTCTTAATTCCGCGCATATAATGACCATAAGTGTGCCAATGCTGATTTCCCCATGTCATCCTCGTTTCTCCAGGGCATTACTGGACAGACAGCGATTTCCTAATCTCTCGTCACGACGTCTCGCGGCCCATGTTTCCGCTTTTTACCCAGACCACTTTGCGTTCGTCAAAGGGACTGGTGAGGGTGAGAGCAGGATGCTTATCTCCTCTTTGGGTGGTAAACTCACCTTCACCTAGGCACCAACAGCCTGCTCTCGTCCTCCCCGCTCCCTCGCCTAGGTATAAGATCAGGCTCTCCCCACAACCTCTTAACCTTTCCTCTTACTCCCCAACCACTGCCAGCATTCACTCAACCGCGTCTTTGATCAGCCTTTCTCTTGCCTTGCCTCGCGTATCTTAGTTCACTTTCCTAAAGCAATAAGCACCGGTAAGTCGAGTAATTCTGCTTGATCACACGCATGCTGACAACCTTGCAGATCCGCTACCACATCTTCATCATGGTGATCAAGTGGACCGCCGAGCTTGACTCGATCGTAAGTGCATCCTCACTGCCATCATCGGCGCATCTCTGTTGTCGCATCCGCTGACCTGAAGCACAGCTCCTCCACGGCGTCTTCGAAGAATGCAACATCTCCTTCAACAAGACTCTGTGCAACAAGATCGCTGAACGCGTCACTGCCGCTGGCTTGGGTACGTAAATTCCTACTCTTGAGTTCCTTTGCAACATTTCCAATCAACATGGCGTCTCACCAACTCCATCCCTCCACCGCATCCCCCATCTGCCACCCACCCACTAACATCGCACCCCCTAGAATGCACCGCCAAAGCCGTAGAAAACCGCCTCTACTCCTGGAAAAAGAAGAACGTCTCCGGCAACACCAACCTCAACTCCGCCACCAACACGCCCTCCAAGTCCGGCGCTTCCACACCCAAGACCCCTCGTTCCAAGGCCAAGCCCGTTCCGCGTAAGAAGAAGAACGTCTCCGAAGAGGTCGACAGCGACGGTCCTCAAGGTCTTATGGACGACGACGAGGTTCTGTCTCCGGCTGCGGCGCGTGGCAAGCGTGGTCGTAACGGTGGTCAGAAGGTCAAGTATGATGAGTCGAGTGAGAAGGAGGAGGAGGATCTGGAGGCTGAGGATATGTATGTTCCGATGGCTAAGCGGGTTAAGGAGGAGCCGGTTGATGAGGAGGATGTCGTTGTTGAGGAGCTCGTTGAGGAAAAGGTCTAGTCACTTTACTGAGTTCCTTGGTGGGTGACGCGGGTTCTGCGACGCTGCGAACTTTGTCCACTGGAGGGTGTGAGGAAAAGTTTCATAGTTTGCGCTTTGGCGTTCGGCGATGCCTGGGATGACGGGTTCATGGACTGGTGATGACCTTTGGGTTTCAGCATCGGGAGTTTGAGCTGGCGTAATCTGCATGGGAGAAGTCGTAAGGCTGGATGGGCTCACATGCGGTGCATTAACGGCACGCGTGGTATATTTGCATTCATGGATGACCAACTCTTTACTATCACAGACACAAAGTTTGTGAATATATCTCCTCCCGAAGTCTATTCGCATGAGTCTCTTACAGATGATGTGATCATTTTCATGATGTTAAAGGCTATGAAAAGGATATGTGGTAGGCTGAAGATAACTTCCGGGGGTGGAAATGCCCACAGCTGAGACTATTGCGCTGCACTGCAATCTCTAGCGCGAATGAGTTTGTGATGGGTGCCAAGGCCAGGTGCACTGCAATCTTTAGCGCGGACGAGCCTGTGCCTGCACAGGTGGATGCAAGCTAAAAGTCATTGGCCAGGCGGGCCGTAAAAGGTTGGACGTTTCTCGCGCTGACTGGTGTGCACTGCAATTTCTAGCGTGAACGAGGGCTCAGGTCGCGCCTGATGTGGTCAGCCACCTGAGAGCAGCGACGGGGGCCTTTTCTGCGAGCCGTTCTGACTGGTGTGCACTGCAATCTCTAGCCTGGACGAGGGGTCAGGTCACGCCTCTTGTGATTAGCCATAGGCCATCGTGGGCCAGTGACTTCGGTCTGTGAGACTGGAAGACTCTGTGTGGGCTCAAGAAGAGGATTGCGCTTCATGAGTTGCTGGGGGTATCGTTGGTGAACATCCTGTGGAAGTTGCGTTAGTGTTGTGTCCGGCGCGTGGGTTCCGTGGACTCCAGGGCTTTGACTACACTTCAGCCGCGCATTTGATCGTATGCGCCCCGCTACCCGATGCTGCTACCCAGATGAGGTAGGAGATGGTTACTGCACTGCAATTTTTAGCGCAGAAGAAGAGGCATCTGAAAGTAGTCGCTAACCAGATCCGGAATCGTTCTGACGTGCAAAGGGATCTGACAGGTGTGGACTGCAATTTCTAGCGCACACGAGTACATATGCGGGAAGACGGCCCTGCAGCAATAGTTAAACGCTTACCGGGAGTGGCCGGGCGCCTGCACTGCAATTTCTAGTGCGAAAGAGCACTTGACGAGATGGAAGTACAGGGTGTGCTACATCTCTCGACCAACGTGCCTCGCCACAGGCACTAGCCGTACAACACCAATCACACTTCTTAGGTCTCTAGGGTGAGGGAAGCCTGGGGCGCAGCACGATGGAGGATTCTCGCTTCCAGAATGAGGCGCGCTCTTTTGGGCACAAATTGCTTCAGCCTGCTGTCATCTTGGGCACGCTGCACTGCAATCTCTAGCGCATATAAGTGAGTGTGTAAGGAGGTGGCCCGTTAGCCACAGCTAGAACAACTCCAGGCGTGCATTCTGCACTGCAATCTTTAGCGCGAAGAAGCACCTGATAAGAGGCAAGGCGCAGACATCAAACTTGGACTGGGCTTCTTACTTGCACTGCGTTTCTAGCTTAGACAAGGAGGACGTATGAGGTAGCTAAACGTTATGAGGCATCAAAGGCAGATATAATGTAACATCTAGTGCGAACGAGCACATCTGGATATATCGGTTGCTGTTGAGCTAGAACGAAGGTTACTTGCCTGAGGATAAGCCTGCACTGCAATCTCTAGCGCAGACGAGCGTAGGTAGACGAAAGAGATGCGCTTGATTGGCTGCCATGTTGCATCACCGGTGAACGTCCTCCAGCGGAACGCTCAGCCACCACCGTCTCGGCACGTAGAATGCGTATCCCTTGGGGCCTGGGCCATACGAATGTGACTGCACTGCAATGACTAGCGCGTACGAGTGTACGTGGTGGTAGAAAGGTTCGCTTGATTGGCTGCTGTGACACTGGTGAACGTCCTGCGGGGGGACGCTCAGCCACTATGGTCTCGGCGCGCAGCCTGCGCATCCCCACCAATGTCAGCTCCGCGAGTGGACGTCCTTCGCAAAGGCCCTCAAACCGGTCAGGGATTCTTTCAAGGGTGGGCGTTGCACTGCATTTCTTAGCACGGACGAAACCATATACGAAGTATGACGATGACGAATCGGCTGTTCAACGTAGCGCGTCTCTGCAGACACGCCAACCAGGGTTGAAGAAAAGGGCAGTTGGTAACGACAAGGCTGCGATTAGTCCAGACCTACGTGGACGGTAACGTTGGCGTGGGCTCTTGCACTGCAATCTCCAGCGTAAACGGATACCCATCTTGTAGGAGGAACCCACATCTTCCCAAGTCAACGAGATGTGCATCATCATCAGCGCGGCTTGACTGCTATGTACTGCAGTCCTCAGCAAAAGCGTTGGTGTATGCGAAAGAGCGGTCTCCCGAGCATTGCCCTGATATGGACTGAATCGAACGTTCGGTGTAGTAAAGGGCATCTGGGTTGATCAACGGAGGGTGCGTGGTTAATGGTACTCGTTCGGCCGTCATTCGGTGCTGGTTTTGGTGTTGCGCTGCGGTCTTTAGTGTGAGAGGGGAGGACGTGGATACGGGGTGTTTCCCGCCGTATCGCTGCACTGCAATTCCTAGCGTCGAAGAGCAGATGTAAGTCACGTGAGCGAAGAAGCATGAGCTGGACCTTGCGAGCTGCCGGCTGGCCTGACTGATTTCGTCCGATAGCTACTGCAACGGCACTGCAACCTTGAGCGCGCACAGTACGTCTGCACTGCATTCCATAACGCGCCAGAGCACGTGAATACCTACCTTTGCATTGCGATCCTCCGTGCGGAAGAGCAATGATTGTTTTCCGAGACGCGAGTGCGCGATAATCTGGGTGTCTCGACCAATATGCGGCGACATAGCGACAAGGAGTTCACCCTGCGCGTACCGACGGGCTTTCGCACTGCTTTCCCAATACAGATAGATCACGTCTTCGTTGAGAAAATGACCGACGGGATGCTTGGTGGATTGCGAGGCTGAAAACACCTCGCGCGGAACAGATTTGGTGCGGTAGAGAACACATCTCCTTGGAGGCTGATAACGTTCGTCCTACGTACCGGCTTGGCGTTGGGCACAAGAGATTACGCCGATCGTGGGGTATGTAGAACCGAGCCAAAAGCTTGGCGCGACCGGATGGCTAGCAACGACATCCGTTTGGAAGCACTAGACGAAGAACGTACCTGCTACATCCCAGCTTAACACTCGCACTAAAACCTCCAATACGGTATATGCGCGCTCAACGACGCAACGGCGCGTGAATAAGGACGGAAGCCGGAGCAGTCGCGATCCGACCCTAGCGTTTCCCATCGGAGATTTTGGCAGATGTCACTCTTCGAGGCTAGCGCCCGGAAACATTCGAGATCCGACCGTTGTGCCTGGTCGTTCACCACAGGATCATCCTCTCGCGTACGGATGGGGTCCACGCAAGATGTCAAAGCGAAACGTCGGCAGGCATCATACAGTCTGTAGAAGCCATGGTTGAAGAGACAGGGTAAAGAGTCTTGCTACCCAGGGGGTTTTGCCGCAGGGCATATATAATGTCGTCCTCCCGTGCGGAGTGGTATCGCCATCGTTCTACACATATCCGCATCACATCTCACGTCGCGGATTCGAGGACCAGGATTTCTGTCTTCCAAGCCGCCGTCGAAGTCACTCCACATCTGATATCATCTTCAACCTGTCGACAGCGATGTCGTTTCAGAAGGCTGCAGCTGCAGTGCTGCTTCTGGTCGAAATTGTAAGTGTTCTCATCTCGCTGATGCAATCACCCTCTAACGCTTTCTCAGGGTGTCGTCAGTGCAATCGGCGTTGCAATCTATCGTCTCTTCTTCCACCCCCTTCGCAAGATTCCTGGACCGAAGCATTTCGCCGTTTCCGGGATCCCTCTGGCCATCGAGAACAGCATCCAAGGAACTTTCGCCAAAAAGGTCCTGAAGTACCATGAAAAGTACGGTGACATGGTGCGTACTTCGCCCAACTCCATATCCATCAACGGAACTATTGGATGGCCTGAGGTTTTCGGATTAAGTCGCAGTGGCCGACCCGAATTCGGCAGGTGGCATGAATTTTACCAGGGCGGAGACACTTCACGCAAGTCGATCTTTCCTAGCAGCAGAGAGGACCATCGACGTCAACGCCGTGTTATGGCACATGCTTTCTCCGATGCTGCTATCAAGGGTCAGGAGGCGTTGATCATGGAGTACGTCGACAAGCTCTTTGCCCACCTACATAAAGACGCCGCGCAACACACCCCGACGGACGTAGTCAAATGGTTCAACTTCACCACCTTCGACATCATCGGCGATTTGGCCCTGGGTGAATCGTTCCACTGCCTGGACAGCAGCGATTACCATCCATGGGTTTCCATGATATTCGCTGGCATCAGAGCTGGCGCGCAAATTGTTGCGTTGATGAAGATGCCTGGCCTCAGCTGGATCCTACGGCTGATGATCTCTAAAGAGGACATGCAAACGCGTCATAACAACAGGATCATGAGTGACGAGAAGGTAGAGCGAAGGCTGGCACTTGGCGCAGCACCCGGCGGCCGGAAGGACATTATGACATACATCCTTCGCAACAACGACGAGAAGGGCATGAGCCATGCAGAGATCCTGGGCAACTCCGAGGCTTTGATCGTGGCTGGCAGCGAGACGACAGCCACGACACTCTCAGGCTTTACCTACTTCATGTCAACGAACCCGCAGGCTTTCGAACGGCTCCAGCAAGAAGTTCGGACGGCCTTCGCCAACGAGAAAGATATAACGATGTTGTCTACTGCGCAACTCAAGTACCTGCATGCCTGCATTGAGGAGACTTTACGAATGTACCCGCCCGTTGCGGATACGCCTCCACGTGTGTCTCCTGGCGAGTACGTTAACGGCTATTGGATTCCCAAAGGTGTAAGTCATTCCAGATCACTTCGCCTGTCATCCATCAGTCAGAAGAAGTACTTCGAATAAACATAGACAGTCACAGCTAACAGCACCTCTCAGACTCTTATCACGATATTCCAGTGGGCCGTCCACCACAACCCCAACAACTTCGTCCAGCCCGACTCCTTCATTCCCGAACGCTGGCTCGGCCCAGACCATCCTTACCACGACCCACAGTTCAACGCAGACAAGAAGTCTGCCTTCCAACCCTTCTCTTTCGGCCCTCGGAATTGCATCGGCAAGAATTTGGCTTATAACGAGCTGCGCATCATTGCTGCTCGCTTCATCTGGAACTTCGACCTTGAATTGCAAGTCGGAAGTCACGGTTGGCCGGACAACCAGCGGGCGTTCTTCGTCTGGGAGAAGGACCCGTTGTGGGTTCAGTTGAAGGAGGTCGAGAGGAATTAGGGGCGTGTGTTCGCAGTTGCTGGAGATGCAGCGTGTGCTGTGAGGTGTTCATAGATTGTGCTTCGTCGGTAGTGTGGCGTTTTTTAGAAGATGTGATAGTTGTTGGGCCGGGCCATTTTGTCTGAGATGCGTCAAGCTTGTCTTCTACTCATCAGGTTCTGTAGTACAATGGAAATGCACAGGTTTTAAGCCACTACTTTGACTCTTGACATGCAACAGAGATCTTCTGAAGGCATGACTTGCTCGCGTGGTGGCAGGAAGCCGGAGCTACCGGGTATGACGATGTGGGGAGTAATGTGCGTGGCGACGCGATGCATCTGTAAAATCAGTTCCGGTACGGAAGCCGCTATTTGACCAAGACCGGAGCGTGTGCTGAAGACTTCTTACACGTCAGACTCTAGCAGATGAGCATAAATCCTGGACAGGTAGGTACGTTGGTCTGTTGTTCCTATCAGATGAACGGCTTTGATCGCTGGGTCGGCATGATTCTATTTTCCCCGTTGCACTGCAATTGTTAGCGTGAGTAAGATAGTCGAACCCATGGCAGAATCGGTGGTGGCTGAAATGTGCACTGCAATCTTTAGCACGGACGAGTGCTTGGTCGGGCAGAGTGACCAATTATGTCGGTGGATCTAACCTGCATCATGCGGCCCTCGACATTATCAACATGCACTGCATTTGCTAGCGTGCAAGGTGGAACATACACAAATGTCAGACACTCCATCTCCTGCGCTAGAAATTGCAGTGCAGACCGGGTTGCTCTGCACATTACCAGCCCTTCCGTTTGCAGGAGGCACTGCAGTGGTTGTCCTATCACCGTACAGGCTCTACGGCGCGCGCGCGTCCATAGACATGAAGCCAGGGACCATGGCACCTCCGCGCAAGTGCACTGCAATTCCTAGCGCAGAAGAGAGGCACGATGCCTGTGTGTGACCGAAATAGCCAAGACGTGACCAACATGTAAAGCCAGTCGCATCAAGACAACACCACGAGTGCAGCTCGCAATTGAGACTTCTTGATGTATGCGACGCTTTTGAATAGCTAATGGAATTGACGCGCACGCGCAAGTGGACCATGATGATGAGTCTATACTGTAAACAGTAGCGTTGAGGATGGCCGGGGTGTTATCAGCTGAGGTGGGGAACGGCACGGCTCGCGGGCGATGGTGGGTGGACCGAGCGATGTCATGCGCCACCAATCTGCACTGCAATTTCTAGCGCGGAAGAGGAGGTAGAGCGCATGTACGGCATGGAACAGCAACGGGAAGGGTCTTCGACTGCGCCACCGCATTTGCTGCGCTTTGCACTGCAATCTCTAGCGCGGAAGAGCGGTGATCGAGTTGAGTTGATAGTGTGATGGTGTGCTCACAACGCTGAGATTGGCACTGCGATCTCCAGCGTGAAGAAGAGAAGTCTAATCTCAAATGAGCGTCACTGTCAGCACACCTGCTGCTTCCCGTTTAGAGAAAGATACCTATCCATGGACGCGCGAATAGCCTTGCGAGCCCGTCACAACCGCAGAACACTGGGTTCCGCCCCCAAATTTGCACTGCAATTTCTAGCGCGTAGGAGCACGTCCAAGAGTAGCTTCAGAGGCCACTGGCAATGCGAAGACATGCATGCATTTCTTCGCAGGCTAGACATGTCGATACGAGCTGTCAAAAGTCATGAGTGGGATCACTGCAGCCCAGGCCGCATGGAATGCACTGCAACCATTGGCGCTAGAGAGAAGCTATGGTCCTGTCATGAGGCTGCGCATTTGATGATGATGGCATATACTAGGGATCATCGTGACTTGTTGCGCAGTATTCAGCCTTGGGAAGAAACGGTCGCAACTGCTGTTTATGGGGCCTGGTGGGAACGTCGAGCTACTTTCCATCGTATCCAAGCTGCACTGCAATCTTTAGCGTGGACGGGGGGCCGATGCCTGCGCTCCAAATGATGTCATTGGCCCATCGCTGGGTCATCGCTCGCACGTGACTGCTGATAAGGACTGGTGGCCCAGCAATACCGGTCAAGGCCGGGTCAGCTCGTCCCACTCGTCCCACCGATGCAAGCGGATTGCTCACCGGTTTCACGTGTCACTCTCTAGTAGCACAGGGTCGTGAAATCGACTGTACACAAGGCATTGTGCAAGGCTGAATTGGTTCGAACATGAAGCACGCTTGAGAGGAGACAATAGCTGTCCGTCGATCGCGGGTCGTTCCACCACGCAGCAAGTTCGACCAGCCAGTCTGAATTGCAAGTTATGCTATAGCTTATTCGGACGTGCCCGACACAATATGAGGAATGGGTTACATATCTTGCTGAAAATCGATGATGTATAGCAGAATGATATGATGTACCAGTGAACGATGCATCCGAGAAATAACCAGCAACGGGGGGCTGTGTGCTAAAGGAGACGCGAGAATGGCTAGAACAGCGCGCTCCACTAAGATTACTTACCTGGGCAGCCAATCTGAACGAAATTGACCTCCAGGTATTTACTTTCTGTCATGTATCTTTTGGTGTCTCTTAAGATCGTTCAACCTCGTGAATGCCTTACCGCACTCCGGGCATTCGTGCGGCCTTTCTCCTCGATGGCTGAGCTCATGATTTTTGCGATGAAAGTTGCGCGAAAATGTTTTTCCGCAAAACTTGCAGGCGTGATTCGTTGCCGCGCGCTTCGTTGTATCAGCGATGAACTTCTCCGCTAAATCACTCATCTCGGGATGAAATGTTCGTTTGTGACTCTCTAGATCCCTTGAGTTGACGAACCCTTCAGCGCCCAGGCAGTCTGGTACCTCGCACTGGAACGGTCTTTCGTGGATGTTGACATGTCGGTCGCGAGCCTTGGCGTCCTTGAAACCCTCCGAGAAATATCGGCATGTGATCCTCGTGCATTTGAACCGCGATTCCTCGTCGTAGAATCTGTTGTATGTCTCCTTCTCGTGTGCCGTCGGGCTAGGCTTGGTCTTGGGAAACATCTCGAGAGCCTTTCGATTCCGATCCAACGCTTTCGAGAGGTCTCCGATGCTGATCTTGTGTTGTGCATCGAAGCCTTTCTGCTGGAACGTGTAGATGTGGCTAGTGAGCCCCACTAGATGATCGTGGAGGTCGAGATGCTCAAATACCCTGCACTTGGCCTTACAGTCGTCCACCAAGCCGTTGGCCCAGTCCACGTCGCCATAGCGCGTCATGAAATCATCCATGGCTTTGAGGATGCTTTGCAGCTGTCCTGCCACGTCGTTTGCCTCGTCGAGGAATCTCTCGCCTTGGCCTACCCAAGCGTCGACATGGTGGAACCATTTCGCGGTGGCGTAATCTTGAAAGGCAATCGATCCGTCCAATACATATCGTCGGCGTTGCACTTGATCATCCGAGTCATCGACATCGAAGCAGGGAAAGGTGAGGTATTGTAGACACAGCGTCGCCAACTCGCACTCAATGGATGGCTCATGAACGTCTTTCGTGATCCTGGTGATGTACCTGTTTCAATCAGGACAAGAAGGCCTTGATCGCATGGGGGCTCACATACGTCTTGGCTGTGCTATGAACGAGAGAAACTCGATCGCCGTTAAGAAGTATTAGCGGCCCACACAGTTCAGAAACGTGTTCGTGCATTCGCTTGTCCTCATAATCAAGGATTTGGCGGTCCACGTCGATCGATAGTGCGACGTGAAGTTCTTTCCAGGTGAATGTACGCTTAGCGCACACTAACCTACGGTTTTGTTATGACGTAAGCGTACGGATTGCGCACACATTGTATTGCAACTTACCATCCAAGTACTCTCCTTACTTTAGGCCATTCTCTACCAGACCTTGTTTTGACTCGTCGTAATGTCCGCTCATATCTGCCTGACAGTCAACGGCCACTCTGTTCCCGCCACGTACTTACGTCCGTACAGCTCAGCATATAGAGCTTCTTCACTTACCCCTCGCCGAGTCCGGCAGGAAAGTTGTCCGTCTTGATAGAGTCAAAAAGCTCCCCTAGCGTCGTGCACGCATAAAGGTCGAGCAAAACCATTTTGGCATAGAGAAACATGCCTGTGTTCAAGTCAGAAACCGGATGAATATAATGTGTCCAACCACCGACGAACCTTTTGCGTTAGCCACGGTAAGGTTGCGGAGGTATTCCTTCATGTCTTGAGTGAATGATGGAAACTTTGTCTCGATCCGATCCACCCAGATCTTGGTGTAAGCCTTGATGTCGCCTTCGTTGTCCGTTTCCGAGATTTGCAGCATCTTAGGCGCTATTTTGGTGATCGCGGAACTATGGAGTCCTCTTCGTATGTCTGCATGGTCTTGACTCGCGATCAGAAGGCGAATGGTGCCTGGATCAAGCACATCGCGCTGCCCTATGACTTTGGTCAAGATCTCTAGCACTTGACTTCTCTCCACCCTTTCGCACTCGTCCAGCCCATCAATGATGATAAAGAGTTTGGGAATAGTCAAGCAAAAATCTTCGAAGAGCCCCTTCGTCTGATTGAGAGACTTGAGGGACGGCTCTCCGCTCGTACTACGCCTCGTGTAACAGGGAGGCAGCATCTGCGGGCAATGATCCAACAATTGGTCCTCGAGGCCCTTAAGTATACCGACTGCGGTGCTACTTGTCGGGTCGCCATCATGGCAGTAGAAGAAGCAGGTGATAAAGTCTCGTCTAGTCTTGCACTCTTCAATGATAGCGGATGCTAGTATGGTTTTGCCTGCTGCTGGTGAGCGTCGCACTATAACCCCAGTTTTGATACATACCGGCTCCTGGTATCCCATACATCCACACAACAGAGCTGTTCGGAATATCAGAGTGTATCCAATGTTTCATGATATCGTGCTGTGTTATCCATCTGGCAGTGGTTGCGCACTCTCTTCGTATCTTGCAGAAGCTCTCGTGGTCGAGCTGAGATTGCTCCCCAACAGCTAGCCATTCTTTGACGACCATCAGCTTCTTGGTCTTCTCTCGATTAACATTCTCGTCCAACTTCACCTGGAGCTCGGTCACATCTTCTTTATAAAGACGGTACTGGGCAAGGCTAGCGCGACAGTCGATGATGTCTTTGTGGCGTCGAAGACAACTCAGAATTCCAACAAACTTCGTGTGGAAGTCGTTCCACCTGGATGCCAGAGTTGGTATCAGCAAATTGGACATAGTTTGCGAAGGGGTGCTGCTTACATTGACTTGAAGAATCGAGTCCATGCTGCGTCCGTAATAGTTAGCGTAAGAGAAGGAAGTGTGGCAAGATAGGCTTACATCTTCCTGAGAAGAGCTTGATGGCTTCCAAATGAAAGTCTAGTATTTCTGAATGGATCATCTCTAGAGCGTTGATCAGATGGGGAGATCTGGAAAAATGTAAATCATATTCCACCAATAAAGGAAGCTGTTCGCCGATCTTCTCGTATGCTTCCAGAAGTAAGTCGAATGAGTCTGAAGATGCACTAGCTTTCTACATCACTCCTTAGCGCAACCAGCATAATGGGTATCCCGACACACTTACCAGCAAGAGGAATTCCATTGGACCCCAAACGAAGACGAAGGCATCAGGAACATTGATGAATCTCGCTATAACCTCGCAAAGCTGGTAAAAGCCTTCGATACAAGATTTGATGCGCGCAAGATTCATCATCTCATTTCGGCGCTCCTGCTCCTGTTGGACCCTAATCAACTCCCTGCAGAGCTTTTCGTATGTAGCTGTCTCGAACTGGAGAACTTGTGTCTCTGTCAACCGATCGCGGAATTGTTGAGTAGCTTGTATGAGAGCTGATCCATTCGTATCTGGGGAGAGGGTAACGGCTCCAACTAAGAGTGGCTCTTGCGACATGGCAGCAGGAGGACCCCGACTACGCTGCTGGAATTGTATCGACCTTGTTGTATGTCCCTAGAAGTTCCACAGCATCATCTTTGGTGAAGGCTGGTACGCGCTGAGAGAACAAGTACATCTGCTCCGCACGACTTGTGGCCGATAAGGTCCGCGATGCCACGTCGCACTCGTAGCGTTGCTCGTACAATGAAGGTGGTGCCTAGAGACCGAAGTCAACGATGGAGGAACGTTTATAGATGCGGTAATACAACAAATTGCGGGAACGGGGCAAGAAGGGCCATCAAACGGGACGTCGTTCGGGGTAAGCGAAGAGCGGTGGCGGCAGCTGACGATGCGCGCATGGCTTACAAAGATCGCTTGGCAACAGGAGCGGGGCATTCACGATCGTGTCAGCTATCTTGGCCTGCACGCACCACCTGGGCAGTCGTCCTCCATCTATTCCTCACAGTTCACTTTATTCTCCCGTCTGTACCAAGAACAAATAGATATCTCGCTCTGCTGCGATTCTGCAGTTGTCTCAAATACTAGCGGTTATGCGCTTGTCAAACCACCGCGAAGGAACGAATTGACGCCACACCACATGGCATCTAAACACCTGATTCACGACGATGACATTCAAGATGCGCACGAACACAATCGAGCACGTCTAGGATGGGACCGAGAGGACTTTATTAATGAGTACGTCACTGTAGGAATGCTTGCCGTAAAAGTGCTAACTCGAGATAAGCTTGACACCAGCACTGCCAACACAGTCCTGGGACCAATACGTAAACGAACTTCTCGGTTCACAGACCGAAACGCATGATCCACTCATCGATGGGAATAGGCCTAATATTTACGGCTCGTTTCAAGAGACAAGCGCTGATATTGAGCGATGGACGACAGGAGAAGCGCCGCATCAGTCCAAGGAGGGGGCAATCCCTGCAGTAGAAGCCAACGTTTGTTACGGCATGGTAAGTCAACAAGAAATAATTCTAGGAAACGTCAACCACCATGATCAAGCTCCTCTACTGTTAATTCTCCTTTGGACATGCAGCTGACACGCGTCTAGATCTCCGGGGCTGCTATCCGCCTTCGTGGCGAGATGGCGGAGCTTCATCGCAGAATCAACAGCGTTGCATCGTCTCTAATTCCAGGCCATGCGCAAATGATTATCGTCAAGCCCGAAGACCATTTCCTGGTCGCTTTCCAGGATGGAGCGGTCGTAGGAGACGCGAATGCTCAGTTAGATGGAGCGTTGACGAGCATCGCAGAACATGGCTACGAGATTGATCTGGAGGTCTTTGCACCAATAAGTATCATAGAAGAGACTATAGGTCGTGCTACCAAACAAAAAGAGGCTGTAGTACGGGTACAGGTGATTGTGTACGGTCCACGCACAGCTGCTTCCGATATTGGTAGAGAGCTTTCGCAGCGAAAGATCTATCTGCAACGTCCTGTTCACATACGAGATGGGTATCGGTACGAGAATCCACATGTTCTCACCCTTGCCGGATTCCATGGCTCAACGCCTGAGATACCAGCCACCACAGAAGAACCTTTCTCCGAAAAGGTCGATCTGCAGACCTTGGAGGGCACTCTCCAGAATGTGTTTTCCTCCTTGGCGCGAAATCGCAACCTTCACGGGCTAGAGGGTGACGAGCGCCTCAACACCGACCTTTTGTTGTACGTCCCATACAATTCGTCCCGTACACATTCTACTGTCCCTTCCGAATTTCGATGCTTCGCGATGGCCCGCTAATAGACTCAGGCACCAGAAGACAGCACTCTCTTTCATGATTCAGCGCGAGGACGGGCCTATACCAGAGGAGTATACGCTTTGGAAGTCCAGCGTAGAAGATGGACTCCATTGGTACGTACCCGGTGGTCGGCCTTGCATGATACCACTGACACCACTGACAGCTATCGTCATGTTCTGACGAAAGGACGTTGTGAGTTGGTTCTTTGAGCGTTCTGATTTTGAAGCGTGCTAATAATACAAAAGCCATGCTTAAGCCCAAAGAAACTGGCGGTGGTATCCTGGCAGACGAGATGGGAATGGGAAAGACTCTCTCTATATTAGCCCTTGTACTACGCACACTGAACGCTGCGCACGCTTGGGCTTTGAGCGTCGATGATCTCAACGATGTGAATTCGGAAATACGAAGGAAGAGACGCCGCTCCGGAGCGACTCTGATTGTTGCATCATCGGACCGTGAGTATATCATCCTTGCGATATAGACTAGTGCTCTTGGACTGACCGCGCAGTCATGATCAATGAATGGTTCCAGGAACTGGACAAGTAAGTCACAAAGATCGTTGCACATCCTCTAGCTGCTCACCTTGGAAGGCATTATGACGAGCCTACCCGTAAAGCATTAAAAGCAATCAAGTACCACGGCCCTCATCGACACGTTTCCCTGGAGAAGCTCTTGGAGGCAGACTTTGTCATCACCACATATCACACGCTCTCGTCAGATTTTGCCAGAACCAAACACGATTTAAGGGATATTGAATGGTATCGTCTCGTCCTTGATGAAGGTGAGTAACTCACCAAACGTTGACCGCCCACCATTGACGATAATCTCACAGCCCACATCATACGACGGCAGTCTACGACATTGTATCGGACTGTAGCTGACATCGCGGCCCGGTCGAGGTGGTGTTTGACTGGCACGCCTATACAAAACCGGCTCGAGGACATCGGCTCCTTGTTCGCCTTCTTGAAAGTGGATCCATTTCACAGCTTATCGAACTTCCGCAAGATTATCGCTATACCTTTCGAAGAGGGCGGCAAAAGACGTACAGTTGCGATCGAGCGCTTCACTCGACTTCTGGACTCCATGTGTCTCCGCCGAACCAAGGATGTACTGCATTTACCAGCAGAGCAGCATCGAGTCAGGAGCATACGGCTTTCACCAGAAGAGCGCCTACAATACGACCAGACTCAAGAGATCATGTTCCGAGCTGTCCGTAATCAAAATGGCACGTTCGATCAAAAGAGTACGCTGGGCATGTTCCAGGTACAACTCCAGCTACGGATTCTCTGCAACCATGGTACTTGGCAGCAGCCCTTTTCCTGGAATCGCCGCAAATTGCACTTGCTGGATGAGGTGGAGGCTTTGGAGATCTCACTTGGGCGAGACGGCGAGATTACGTGCTCAGTATGCCGGCAATCGATGCCTGCCTTTAATAGCGGCTTGATGTTCCATCGCTACACCGAAAATTGCCGGCATGTGTTGTGCTCTCAATGTCTAACCCAGAGTACGCCTAGTGGTCACGACGAGATACCCAGCAAATGCCCGCTTTGTCATCCCCTGTGGAATGCGTCCACTCAAACACCTCGTTCCATAGATGCATCACAAGAAGATACATACTTTCGAGCAAACGGACGGTCTTCGAAAATGGAAGCTTTGATGAACGACGTCTCTGTCGATGTGTGGAAAACGAAAAGGTATGCGCGATGGGATTACACACATGGAGGGCAAGATTGACAAACTCGCAGCATCATATTCACTTGTTGGACGCGCACCTTGAACTTGCTAGAGAGCTACCTCCGTTACATGTCTAACAACACGTGGACCCATGAGCGCATCGACGGCGAATGCTCAACGACCAAACGCGAACGCATCCTGCATCAATTCACGGAGGACCCCAATTTGCGAGTACTGATCATGACCACCGGCACCGGCGCCGTAGGGTGAGTCAACCACATCAATGTGATTGACTGCTATCATTAATCCTGTCGGGTAGGTTGAATCTTGCGACAGCAAACCGCGTGTTCATTGTCGAGCCCCAATGGAATCCCTCAGTCGAGAACCAAGCTATTGCACGAGCCCTTCGTTTTGGTCAGAAACAAGCAGTTGTAATTACACGCTATGTCGTGGAACATTCCGTGGAATACGTGAGATAATATAGCCCAGGTCGCCTATTCTTACTAACTCAATCAGGATATGCGCGCGTTGCAGGAAACCAAGCTAGAGAGGGCTGAGCTGATACAGTTTGATGAAAGCCCCGAGCGCGCATCTAGTTCACACCGGACGATTGTATCATCCCCCCCGCAACAGCTGCAACATATTCAAGACCTTGGCTCTGCTTCAAGTCCTGACTTTGTCGCTTCGACTAGCGTTCAAAGGTCTTCACTTGACAATCTCAATCAGTTAGACACTGCTCGAACTTCGTCAACTCAGAAGAGCTCCAGTACTCACAATTTCGACGTACTAACTGCATCCCCCGGGGCACGCTTCGCCGTCAAATCCGAAGCCTTCGGCAATACCGAATCTAGGCCAATCTCCCCTACTTATGCATGGAAGCGGAATGCAAGTCTTAGCGTGACTGACAGTGACATGCGATCAGTTTCTGACACTTCGGAAATGACTCCAGCTTCAAGCATCACGTCAGCATCAGGAATGAATATTAGACATTCGTCTTCAGAAATACCTAGCGCTAAACGTCCATGGACTAGTCCTAGCATTAACGAAAGTGTAATATTCCAGGCATCTCAAGCACCAAAGGGCGCAGAACGATCGAGGACTCTCACACCTACATTCAATTTCTCTGCTACTACGGGAGACAACGACGGTGCTTCCATACTGTCCAGTATAGAATCTACCGGAACACGAGACAGTCGCCGGGACCGAACGCCCGAAGAAAGCTTCGTCTCCCGGTGCTTCGGAGACTTCTTGGGCAACTTGAAACAGCTGCAACCCTTACATGAGAAAGCGTTTCAACAATTTGGAAGAGAGGGATTCGTGCGCAACTATCGACAATTGCTCAGAATCCACTTGCTCAGACTTCGAGAACAACCAGGCTCGCGGACTCGCACAGAGTGTCTCACTCTTCGAATTCTAAATGCCGGGAAGAATCTCATCGAAATAGCGCGTAACGTTGTTGTGGTGCTCGAGCAAGAAGACATAGTGCAGACAAAGCCACTTGAGACTTTGGACTTTAGACCTCGCGAGCAGGAAAATGTTGCAAGCTGGTTGACGGGTCTAAGATCTTCGGAATCTCGCGAACTCGAAGCCGTTCGGCATTATTCTAGACAAGCTTCAATCGGGGCCGAGATGAAGGAGCTTGAGAACATCTCCACAGCTCGTGAAGCCGGGAGCGACAGCGGGCTGGAGGAGAATGAACTGGGGGGCAACGTCGAAGAAAGCTCGCTCGACATTCTTGATCCTTTCGAGGAGGAACTACTGTCAGCACTTACTGATGCCTACGCGTTCCTGCGGAGAGATCTCTCAAGTTTTGAACTCGACCTGAGACTACTCCTTCTTCCTACATCATTGCGAGATATAGTAGAGACAGTACCCAAGGCTGATATAAGCATCGCACGCACCAACGATGTATCTTTCGCCAACAAGGTCAAAGCACGCATTGAAGACTCCACGTCACTCGAGTGGGACTGGTGGCCACTCCGACCAAGAGTTCATGACCTCGTGCAAGGACGAAAACGTCTTGAATACAAGGTCTGTCTACCTCATCGCGACAGTTTGAATCATCGCTTATCAGCTACAAACTTCTAGGTCTGCTCGCATGTCTATGTTCAAGACATTGCCGATTCGGACGCGGTTTCGATACAAACTATCCTGGACCGGAGTCGCAATCATCCACCCAAATGTTACTGCTGTTTCTCCTGCAGTACCAGCGAGCTGGAACACATAAGGCTTGCTTTCGGGGGATACATTGCATCGACCCTGACATGGATTATCGATAATTGGCTACCGACTTCTCAGCCGCCTGCTCAAATACCGGCATCGGCAGCCCGTCAGCGTTATACACCCGCTTCTACGACGCCTACTGCTGGCGCAAACACAGCTAGCGTGTCGGGTGTGCCGGTAAACAATCTTGCATCACAACTGTCTAACAGCAGCAGCAGCGGCGTACAGCAAGTACCCTCTACAGGGTCTACTATTACACCCGCTACGCAAAGTACATCTCTCTGGGTTATTTTTGGTATCAAAGGCCATAACAACTTCAACGACATCGAAAACATCGAAATGCCCCACCAGATAATGAATGACTTCAAATTCTTCGCAGAGCTGAACCGTTTGGACCACGACTACCGCTGGGCAATTTCACGTTGGTTTTCTCCTTACATCTTCGACCACTGTAGATTTGTTCGGGTAAGTGTGCAACCCTTTTCTATCCCTGTCTTATTATTTAGATGTTCACATATGGAATGCCACGCTAAACTTCAAAGTTCGAATCGATGGGTGCCGACCTGATCTGGTGCCGCGACGAATCTCTACCGGACGACCACGGCAACGGAGCGCAGTATGAATACGACCCTCGGCCTCCTGATGTTCACTGCATTCGCAATCCTCCGGTTAGCAAGAACGAGTTTCGAAGGTATCTTCGAACATGCGGAGCCTCTTGCCTTTGGTCACGTCTACGCTTTATGAAACACAGATGCTCACGCGTGCACAAAGACTCCCACAAATGGATGAGGATACCGAGGAAACGCGATAAGTTCGATACCTTGTCGGGAAACCCCGGAGAAGGAGTTTATGGTATCGAAGCTGTTTACTTGCTGTCGGCAGCTACTGTCTTCGTTACTCACGTCACACTCATGCTTGGAATGGTCGCTTTTTCGGGGTGGTGGTTGAAGCGCTACCCAGGAGATCTACAGGGTGCGTTTGTCCCATTGGTGACGACCCTAGCAATCGTTGCTTCATTCTGGACTTTGCCTGGCCGTGGCCCGCACTTGTAATCGATAGGCTGAACTGATCCGGCACATGCTTTGGACCCACCTGGTGATGAATGCGCTGTGAATCAAGACGAGAGTAATAGTCCTGGAACCGGTGAGAGCTGACAATCCAAGGCCCGGTTGGCCCGATTGGCCCGTGGGAGTGCAGACAGCGCGCGTCCTGATGCTCAGCATCTGACAGGAATCTGGCTGTTCATACTCTGTACGCCTGCGACTCCTCTTCCGCGCTAATAATTGCAGTGCACTGCCCTGTGCGATGGTGTACGCCGGCCGCATATGTGGTGTCCACAATTGCCGCAGTGTTGCACCTCATGGAATAGCGATTGGTGTTAGACGTCGTACCCAATAGAGTGTCTTGGTGCCTGCGCACTCCAATTCCGCACGGGAGGCTGTGACGCAGCTGTCATTCAGGGTTGAGAGAGGCTGACCGCGTTGTGAAATGCGTTGCGCCCGTGCCGTTGATAGCCTCCCGAGGTCGGCTTCGTTTCGTGTGAGGGTGAGGGATGCAAATGAATTAAAGCCATGCATCCCCATAGACAGCATCGCGCTGAGATCAACCAGATCCGAGTTTCGTCGGCCTCTAGCTGCAAATGGCAAAGACGCGCAATGTCGCGGGATGATTTCCAGCTTCCCCACAGATGCATATCGGCTGATGGCACGGATGCGGCGGTCTTGGCGTTCCGGTCCTGACGGGCGGGAGGCTGAGAAGCCGAGTGGCGCTAGTTCACGCGTCCTTCGCGTCCTTCGCTACGCGATGCTTGCTGCGCCCCGGCCGGTGCCAAATTCGCGACTTTGCCCGTTTCTGGACCGCATGTTGTGTGCCTGCATATCGCAGGCTTCGAGACGTGTCTGTTCTGCAGTGCGTGCATACCGTAGATTAAGTTGTTACGAGGGGAGCGGGTCAGCCAAAAGCATCCTGGTGTCTGCTGGGGTTTCGAGTGGTAATTTCGATGTGTTCAAATGGCAGCGAAGGTACCTGAACCATGAGTGCGAATCCCGTGACGCCAAAAGCAAGCCCACCTCAGCGTGCACATACAAAGTGTGACATCAGCGCAGTAACCATCTATACCCTCACAGACACTAAGGACCCGCCATCTTTTCCGAACGTCCCTTCCGCGTACGCTAACAAGGACCTCCCTGGCCACAAGCAACCAGTGAACGTGCAATGATTGTTAATACGTACAGGTCACTCTCCACAAATTCGAAATGTCATCACATCCACCGTACCACTGCTCGGGGGTTCGGGCACCGAGAGTGCCTCACTGATGACCAAATCTAGGGGGCCTGAGTACGCTTGTCTCGCGTGATGAACCGGAAGGGGGTTAAGTCGCGAAGTCCACGTAAGTATCACTATAGGAATGTTTGAGATGCCATTTAGGATAGAGCGACTCTAGCTCAGGCCAAGATGACCGAGTGCGGGCTATGCGAGTTTGCTTATCTTACTGTGATGGAGAAAGTATAAGACAGATCTCAAGCGTGTTCTGGTTGGATTCGTGCACCCCGTCTACATTCAGTGCGACAGTGCGACAGCAACAACTCACGACTTCCCTAAGTTACCCACCTCACATATCTTTTCTTCCCATCGAACAACATGACGCGCATCCCATTTCTCGTCGTTGTCACGCTTGCAAGCGTTGGCGTCGTTAACGCCCAAGGCTCTCTCGCGAGCTGGCACCCAGCTGGTCCAGGGGAATGTACGTTCGGTGTCTCCACAACTGCTCACTGCAGCAATTACTAACATGTTCTAGCACGAGGCCCATGCCCCATGCTCAACACACTGGCGAACCACGGTTTCCTCCCTCGCGAAGGGCGCAACTTCACGCTCCCCCAGATCAAACACGCCCTTGGAAAGGCCATCAACGTCGGCGATGACATCTCAGAGTTGCTGTACAACTTTGCGCTGACGACGAACCCCGGCCCGAACACCACGACTTGGGGGCTCGACACGCTCGGCAACCACAACATTTTGGAGCATGACGCTAGTCTGAGGTAAGCCCTGCAGCCCTTCGCTGAGTCCGCTGGTCGCTTTGAGGACCTATACCAGGAAGCGTATGACTAACACAACGTCGCAATCTAGTCGCTCGGACAAATACTTCAACGACGATGCCATCTCCTTCAACTCCAACATCTACGATAAGACCCGTGCCTACTGGACAGACGACCTCATCGACATCCAAATGGCCGCCAACGCCCGTCTCGCCCGTATGATCGATTCGGTGAAGTACAACCCCAAATTTGCTTTGTCAGAGTTGGCCGCGGACTTCAGCGCGGGTGAAGGCGCTGGATACATGCTCGTCTTCGGCAACAAGACGGAGAAGACAGCGAGGCGTGATCTGGTGGAGTATTTCTTCGGTAAGTATCTAACCCTTGTGTATTGCAACTTCATGCTAATTGTCATGTAGAGAACGAGCGTTTGCCGACGGAGCTGGGCTGGAAGGCCCCTGACGAGGTGATCAGCCTGGACGATCTTCTAGGCTTTTCCGACGACATCTACAGTGCGACTTCGTACGATGCTCTCGAGACGAAGGAGGCAATGATGCGCAGGAACGGTATGGTGGGTAGGGTCTTCTAGGATAGCGAGCGACAATTGTTCAACACAGCAAATTGACTACAGGCGATTACCCCTCGTCCGCGCTAGAGATTGCAGTGCAAAGCCAGATTAGGGCGTTTCTGTTGACAGCCCAAAGGATAGCAGGGATCCATACGAGGAAGCTGCATGCAATCAATCTGTACCACGTTGATAGACCGGGTGAAATGCAGACAGCCGTCTTGATGATACCACAAGCATCTTCTCAAGCAGTATTGATGTGACATTGATGTAGCGTAATGCTTGTGAGTCGTACTGTGCGACGCGTAATGATGTGCTTGTCATACAAATAACTTGTAGCCGATGCAACGACGTTGCGACCGTCGACAGCCCTTGGCGTACTTCATGCCTACGACAGTGGGAGTCTTCCCTGGTCCGTGTATGCGCATCCCTTCACTCAATAATATTTCTTCTCCATCTGGAATCGTGATTGGAAAGCCATGCGCGCAACGATCGCCCTGTCGCCCTGAGCCCCGACAGGCTACCTAGGTATCACTCCGCGCGATGCGGACCTCTTTGCCAAGCGGTATGTAGTAAATCGAGTTCTAACAGGTGTGGATACATGAGAGATCATGCGGGATTGGAATTGTGTGGCTGATATCTGCTCCACTAGGGCTATGCGAACAAGGCGCACTTGCGGTGCAGTCAGAGCGAGTGAAGACGTGTGCTCTGCACGACCGCTCTTGCTGGCGCCTGGCGTACTCGCAAAACTCTGGAAAGAACACCGTACCACCCATAGCCGATTAATCGCAAGCCAAGCATCCCGAGGTCAGCTTCGTAATGGCCGACCAGTTGCCTTCTCACCCATCGACTCCCACGCCGCGCGTTGAGATTTTGCCACCAAGCTACGCGAATCCAGCGACCGTCTCACCAACGGGCGCGCCGGCATGCGCATCCGCTCAACGCATGCATACGATTGATGGTATTCATCCTGCAGTCAGATCAATGCTTGGGAATTAAAGGACTCATGCCCTGCGGTGGTTCTCTGTCCTTGGTGTTGGCCAGGCGAAGCGTCGCATTGCATTTGCCGTCGTTGCGGATCTTGCGGGAACCACCCACACCGCCATTATCTTGAACCTCGCACGTGTTCAGGATGCCCGATGCGGCCTTCAAAACTTCCGTGAGACCTACGAGACAATCCTCCGTCCAGTCTTGTTCGTACTCGATTTGAAAGGCGCAAGTGTGTACGTACTGTTACCACGTCAACGTCTGATGGATCGTTGTTACCATTTGCGAAACTTACCGAAGCCCACCATTGTCCTCCCTTTCTCCCCTGTAGGAGGCCCACGACTGGATGCATCATGCCTGTCGCAAGGGCTGCGTAGCAGTCCTCTTGTTGCGCTAGCTTGGAGGCATCGCCCACAGAGCAGTCGATCTCGGACGACTAACCGTACATCATGTCGGCATTATCGTTCTCGAAGGTCTCTAAGAAGGAGTTGTACACGCCGCGATCGAGCAGAACGCCTGGCTTGTTGTAGGCTGGATTTTGGACTAGATCGGTACAGTTAGCAGAACGATCTCGTAACATCGTGGAAAGAGTAGTAGCGAGTAATCTCGCAAAGGTATCGCTTGCTATATTGCAATTAGTTATTGTCCAACGCAGTTAGAGGAGAGAGTGCATACTAGTTAGATAGAAGCGGTGCATGCGTCGCGTAGTCCACTCGGACGAGAACAGTAAAACCCTAAGGATCGTCGTCGCTACCTCTAGCGGCGTTTGGTACTATAATGCATGTATCGGGCTTGCTTATTCCATCAACACAAGTTCTCTCCGGATGTCCGGAAGCTACGTCTAGATATATGCCGTCGCCTGTATAAGTACCACTACACAATGTTAGCCACGAATCTTGTCTGTATTAGACTTTCTTGTCACTTTCGCAACTAGTAAGAGACAGATTATAGTATGCTTACTAAGATTCTCTAAGTATTAGGATCTATATAAAGTACCCAAATTCGTTATGCTCTAGCTTTACGGCTTTGTTAACAGCTTTGGCTACCGTCTTCGTGTTCGACACGCCACTAGTGACGCTACCACTAAAATCAGCTATCTTGCTACTAAGCGGGAAGTTAATAGTGTACGCCTAAGCCGTAGTAGTCGTATTAGTAATACCGCACGTTATAGGACTATAGCAATAGAGGTTTAAGAGGAATATACTCTCCTAACCGTAGAAGAACCGCACCTATCGTCCTAAGTTAGCCGCAATTAGACCTTTGTTTTAAAAACCTACATTCCTCTTACAAAATCCGCTACAATAAAAGGCCCGAGATAGGTTCTATTAGGACCCTTCGTTCTGCTGCTTCTTTATGTAACATACGCCTAGAGATTCGAAGCCCTTAGGCGGTAGGCAGACGTTATTCTTGTAATCGTAATACAGAATAGGTTCGGCATTCTTCCTATAACATGGATTGCGCTTAGAGACGTGGGGAGATAGATTATTAGAGACAGCGTCTGCAGGATAGGCACTTGCTACCTTCGCAGATAGAATGTAAACTAGGAACAGAATCGATAGCATTGTCGGTAAAGATGTAACTATGAAGGTAGGCTCAGGTTTGAAACTCGAGACTTCTAATAAGATGCGCACTCTTATACTGCAGGTTCACCTCAGGCCGCCTGTGTAGACGCCGGTCCAAGACGCTCTGGTCGGACTGGGAAGTTGACAGCTGTATCGTGAGTCTGCCTTAGGAATACGAAAGCCCCAATCTCGAACCGGGCGTATGCTTCCACTCGCGGCACAGAAACCTAAACAACAATCTCGAGATCGCATGTCATCACTATGTTTCTCATTACCCTTGTCGGACATGTTCCTCGCAGGCATACGTGGAGTGCAAGCTGACGCGCGCCGTACGAAGAACAGCAAAGTACGCCTCGAAGGATCGTCCAAAACAACGGCGCGGCAGATGTGTGCTAAAACTGATTTATCTCATGTCCAGAAAGTTGTTGGTAATACTTTCTTTGGAACACGCAGAAATCGGAGGTGGAGAAGGCGCATGGCTTATGTCAGATCGTTCGAAGTTGGGGCGATGTGTGGCACAGCTATGCGGGCCGCGTTGTCGGGATTGTTGGCGGCATCGAAGCCAAGGTCTTTTCAGACAGTGCACTGCCACCTAAGTAAGTAGTCCTAAAGTTGATGCGTCTACCTGTCAACTACACGCAATTGCGCGTCAGTTCACGGAGCTCACTCGCACCTACAACACCAAAGCACCACGACTCGCAAGTTTACCTGGAGACTATCGCATCCTGCGCGGAAGAACGTCGACAATGTAAGTGCCAATCGAACGTTGAGCCTTGGTCGCGATGACTCACGCACCTTCAAGTTTGCGATGGACGGCCAGCCACCCAGCTACTCCGACCCGGCGACTGACCCAGCGATGGGCGCACCAGTCTACACTTCAGCCCAACACATGACGGATTACGGAGCGTTCCCAGCTGCGCACTACACCAACTCACAACACGATCATCGCAGCTCCGACGAGAGTACCCCTTGTAAAATGATCTTTGCTCTACTCTGGCTGTGCGGTGCGATCACCGTGGTGGTTCTGGCAATTCGCAATGTTGCATGGTGACGTTAAAGGACGGCGAGACGCGAGGTGAAGTGCAACGGAGTGGGAAGTAGATTGAGGACGCTTGGAGGAAACCGTAGGAACGTGGGGTCGGGATACAATGTCGCGTCGGCGAGGTGATGTGGGCTGGGCAGCAAGCGATGGTGGTGAGGCCGTGGCCCTTCAATTGGCCAGCACTCCACTGAAAGCCATAGCGATGCGCGCATGCCCAGTGTGTATACACCGCGCATGAGGGATGTGGGCGCGTTTTGTAGCGTCGTTCCCCGCGCTCAGGACCGCCCGGCAGTTGTCGCATTCGATTCCAGGTGCTCTGAGTATGCGCGTGAACCATCCGCATGCCACAATGACTACCAAGCGCTCTCTTGACCCAAATGATCAGTGTATGGGCGTGTATGCCTTCACCGAGCGATGCCAACAGTATCGAGACTCTTCCGCCGATGAGTCTTGTAGACGCCGGCTCCACAAACCACGCGCTTGGTCCTTCTTCATCTGTAGATACCCGAACTGATGCTAAGCCGCCCAGCTGTCGCATCGTGATGCGTATGGTATCGCGGAGTGATGGAACGTGGTATTCGGCGAGTCGGGGGCCGCGAGGGGGCAGGCATGACGCCTGTGCTGGTATGATGATGTGAAGCGGTCAATCTCATACTGCCAGACCTGTCGCAAAGCCGAGTAGCCATGGCTCCGCCGCCCTCATTGCCTGTGTATATGATGCGCTCATGGCGGAGCCAACTCGATCGATCGAGGGTATAGCGGGATAGATGTCGTCCCTGAATATCGACGCGTATGCTGGCATACAGGCAGTAGAAAGCCCGCTTTCATCCACCATCCATCGCGTCGTCGGCTTGACCACGTGTGCATACGCCTTCTCCTTCATGTGCCACAGTGCGACCGCCTCAGACTCCCTGGTGTCGTCATTCTTGCCCTGTTGACCGGGAAATGGCATTGCGACCGTCGCTCACCTCATCCAGGGTTCATGCCGCTCTCATACGGCGGCATCGGGCGTAGGGACGCCGCATATGGCGCAGTTGACTCCGGAAGGTATGCGCCGAATATGCCGCCGGCGCGGAGGTTATCGAGGATGCTGTCTGGGCTGGGCGAGCATATGTGGAGCTCTCGGGCGGGTTACTGCCGGACGGGGGCGGGCGGCGACAATGCGGAGACAGACAAGCCCCCTACTCGTGAATTCATGTCGCGCTCGCCCGGCCATTATTGCGTACGATGCCTTGAAGATGCCTATGGGGTTTGCGGGCGAGGCGCATGCAGTTGTGGGGTGCGGCTCGGGGCGTTGGCACTGGCGCTGGTGCGGACGGCGAAAGGGCAAGGGCAGTCCGGAGATTTATGTGCCGTGCCAAGCCCGAGCGCAGGCCAGTTTACTCACGACGACCACGTTCACGACTATCAAGCTCACGATCCGGTCCTTGATGCGCGCATGCGATAGCACGACGATACGGCATAGTTAGGCATGCGCGATGCGCTGCTTTTAATATGTAGCTAACAACAGGTTGTGTACACGCGCCCCTTCTATCCACATCGCATAGCGACAACTAGCCACGTCCGACTCCCGCCTTCCTCGTGGTGCTCAACAGCCTTAGCTAGATATCTTTAGCAACCTTGAGCTTCGCAAGGTAGGCAAGCGCGGCGAGGAAGGCCTATAAACTTATTGTATAGGAACATAATAAGCGCGGTTAGAGCAGCCGAAGCAAGGAATTAGAGCCACTACGTTAATCTCTCGCTTCGCAGTCCTGTCGCTATAACGTCGCAGTGCACCTAGTTCTTCTTGTCTTTTGTTATAGGCTGCATTGTGTTGCCTATGTTTGCCTTGTCGCTTAGAGAAGATAGATAAGAGTAGTAGTTCTTGTTAGCAGACATGTTTACTCTACTCTAGAGAACGTCTTAGAGCTACTAGGTCTAAGTAATTTTTAGTAGAGGTAATAAGCACTAATAAGAAATAGAGAGTAGCTCTAAAGTAGTAGCTTTAAAGCTTTTAAACTTTACTACTTAAAAGCTTAAATAAAATCTAAGTAAACTATTTTATATAAAATAACTACGTAAATTTAATACTTTACTAAGCTTATTAATAGCTACTTATATTATAAAGTTATAAAGTAAAGAAGTTTAGAGCTAAATTTTAAAGTTCTTTATATAATTACTATACTTACTACTAGTATAGCCTATATATAGCTAGAATTTAGCGCTTATAGCTAAATTTTAATACTTATAGCTAAATTTTAAACTTAAAGTAAAGCTAAAATTAAATATCTATAGTTAGAATTAGTTAATAAATTAAGTACTTAAAATAAGTATTTTTATAGCTAGAATTTAGCGTCTCTATAACTAAAGAAAAGTACTTTTATAGCTAATTTTAATACTTATAGCTAAATTTTAATATTTATAGCTAATATTTTAAACTTAAAGTAAAGCTAAAATTAAGTACTTATAGTTAGAATTAGTTACTAAATTAAGTACTTAAAATAAGTATTTTTATAGCTAGAATTTAGCACTTTTATAGCTAAAAAAAAGCGCTTTTATAGCTAATTTTAATATCTATAGCTAAATTTTAATACTTAGAGTAAGACTAAAATTAGATATCTATAGTTAGAATTAGTTACTAAATTAAGTACTTAAAATAAGTACTTCTATAGCTAGAATTTAGTACTTTTATAGCTAAAAAAAAGCGCTTTTATAGCTAATTTTAATACTTATAGCTAAATTTTAATATCTATAGCTAATATTTTAAACTTAAAGTAAAACTAAAATTAAGTACTTATAGTTAGAATTAGTTACTAAATTAAGTACTTAAAATAAGCGCTTCTAGAGTTAAATTTAGTACTTTTA